AAGTCTATGTGAACTCTAACCATAGGGTTCCCATATAAAAAAGGGTGTCCATTGAAGGGATGGGAGCCTCTAGTAATACACAAGTCTCATTAAGCTTACAGGTGCTTAACAAATTATCTACAACTCTTAGATGTACTCTCTACAAAACCTCAACCGCTCAGACTTCTCGCCCAATACTTTACACCGTTCGAACTCCTCGCCCAAGACTTCAACCACTAAGATTACAGGATCTTATTAAACCCAACGCTCAATGAGAAGAATTGCTCTTCTCAAACTTCTCTCTTATGGTATGAACTCTCAAGGAAGAATAGTGGATAAAGAGATTCAACAAAAGCTTTACCAACAACACAGAGTTATTTCTAAAATGGCTCCACAAGAACTCTAGATTTGATGCACAACTGAAATGAATATAATAATAAAGAATGAGGAGAGTTTTTCATGCAAAAACAAAAGCCAAAAGCCTCTATCTATAGGCTAAAAGGGGATGTGACCTTTGCACATTGATTCAAAATCAATCAAGCAATACACCTGCAAATTTGAAATTATTTGGTTAGTATTTTCGGCTTATAATCAATTACCTAAAGGAAGTAATTGATTGTTGGCTTTAAATTTGCTTCAACGGTAAAAAATCTAGGCGTTGTGAGCCAACAGATACATTGATAATCAATTATCACTTTTTGTTAATTGATTATTGACCCTGATGGAAAAAATTGTTTGGCCCGAACACTCCAGTTAACCTAATTAATAATACTCCATAATTATCATCCCCAACACTCCCCACAAATTACTTCATCATCATCCCTGGTCAAAACTCCATCTCCTAAAATACATCCACCTTTGACTTCTTACCATTGTCACTTCCAACATTCACTCCCTACCATAATTACCCCTACCATTTACTCCCTATATAACTACTATCTCCATCACCCACCTATATATACCCCACCATCTCCCTCACAATAGGGAGGCTGTTCTCCACTCATAAAATTTCATACAGATATAACATTTGTCTTAATCATACATTGTCCAAACTACCAATCCAGTGTGTCACTATTTTATTCTTCTCCTTGTGATTTAATCTTTAACTTTCCCAACATGTCATTATGCAGCACCTACCTCTTTCTATCTTAAATTGTCTAGGCATTATGTGTTATCACCACATTGATTTCATTGATCACATATTTTGTGAGTATTTGTTGAAGTCATTATCAAGTTCATGCTTATGCTAAAAACTCAGTGTCCTTAGTGGTACACTATTCAGACTTTATATGCTCCATGATTACTTACATCCTTCATCTCAAATATTATTGCGCTTTCACCAAATATTTTTAAACATTATACAACACTTTTTTTTGTTTTTTATTATTCGCCAGTGCCAATGTTTTTAATGTAAATCCTTATGTGTTTTAAGAGTCTTTTTTCTAAGAGTAGATTCCATAAATAGTCCATTATAATTAGGGGGTTTCAACATTTAGTCCATAATTACCAGATATTGTTGTTGTAGTCCTTAATTTGGGTTCCTTTCTTGTTTTTGAGGAGTTGGGTTGGAATTCTACCATGCAACGCACGCAACGCTGGGCAGTATTCTCAAAGTACTATTCACAGACGATTCTAACAATTTTGCTTGTTGAGTTTTTGGTGTGATGTTTGGAAGTCTTAGGATCCCAACTCCGAGTTCAATTTTGTAGATTTGGGGTTAGTTTTGGGTGAACCTGAAGAAGAAGTTTCTCGAGTTTAGTGTTTATTTCGTAAACTTGGATTTTAAATTCTTTAATGTTCTTGCTTAAGGGCAAATTATACTCCCTCCGTCCAGGATTAATTTTCCCATTTGGAAATGAAAGCTTGACTTTGGAAGGGAAATGTCTAATATACCCTTTATTTCTAACTTGTTTTACACTTTTACAGCCACAACACCACCCTGATCTCTGCCGAGGCTAGCACCCACCGCCCCCCAATCATCGTCGGCGACTGACCCAGCCCCCATCACTCTTGCCTTAACCCCCAACACCATCGCCCCTACCCCCTCACCACCTTCGCACCATCGTCTATAGCCGCCACCATCTCTACCTGTGGGAGATAGAGAAAAGGGAACAGATCTACCATAGATCTGTAAGAGAGGGAAGAGAAGAATTGGAAAAAGAGAAGAAAAAAAATTGTAGATTTGCGAGAGAAGAAGAAGAAGAAGAAAGACGAACATATCTGGAGAAAGAACAGGGGGGAGAAGAAGAATAAGGGGAAAAGAAGAAGAATAAGAGAAGAGGAAGGAGAGAAGGAGGGGCTGATGAGGAGGAAGGGATGAAGAAATAGAGAAGAGGGAGGAGAGAAGGAGAAAAAGATAAGGTGTGAGTGGCGAGGAAATGAGGGAGGGGAGAGAAAGGGGAGAGGGGAGAGATAGAGTGAAAATGGTAAGTGGGGGTATTTTGGGTAGTTAGTGTATCAAAAATTGAAATGGGAAGATTATTTCCGATCGGAGAAAAAGGAGAAATGGGAAGATTATTTCCAGACTGAGGGAGTATTATACATCCGGTTTTACCTAATTTTAGGTAAACCCAAAAAATTATTTATGGTATGAATTTTATTTTACATGAGAATGAATTCTAGGTTATTTAAAAATGAGTATTGTTTTGTTTCTGAATGAACACTACATTATTTGTAGATGAATATTATAATTATATTAAACCAATGTTTGAAAATGAGTACTGCATTATTTTAGAATGAGACACGCTAATTATATTTGTGCGAGAATGAGTACTACTCTATTTCAGAATGAGTATTACCTGAATGTACAGTATATCTGGTTGTACCATATACCTTCTCTTGCTGAAGTGCAGGCCAATTTTTGGGAGAAGTATATGGTACAACCGGCTGTACCTAGATACCAAGGTACATTCGAGTAGTACTCATTTTAAAGTAAAGTAGTATTCATTCTCACACAAACATAACTGTTCATTTTGAAATAGCGTGGTACTGATCTTGAAAAAAAACGTAGTACTCATTCTGAAATAATGTAGTATTCATTTTCAAACATTTATTTCATACAATTATAATATTCACCTATGAATAACGTAGTGTTCATTCTGAAATAAAGTGCTACTCATTTTCAAATAAAGTAATGTTCATTCTCAACTAAAGTACCATTCATTCCACCTAATTTAAAATCAATCTACAACCCTTCTGCATCTCCCTCACCCAAACGCTTTACTATTTCGAACTCAGTTTCTACAATAGCCACTTCCCCCATACAACCCTTCAATCTGGTATACAATCACTTTCCCCACTATCACATCACCTTCGCCACCATCATCTTCACCATCACCTTCACCGATCTGCTCCCCGCCCTCCATTTGCATTGTACTACCTTCGTTTTTCGATCAGACGCTCTTAGGGTTTGACTCGACTGCGCTGCTCTTAATCGCTAATTTTCGCTAATATCCTACAACCGTACAGCTGGCTGTAGGATATAGTTTGCGAATTTTTGGGGTATTAATGGCGACCTGAAAAGCCTCTCTTGATTATGAAATTGGATTACCATTCCAGCGGAAGAAATCATCGATTTGTGGAAAAATTAAAGCTCGTCGTTACTGTTCATAGTGTGATTGGGTTCTTTAATTTTTTCAGATTCTTGCTTGTATCTTCTCCATTTGTTCGTGATTCTTGGGGTTTTTTTGTAAAGGGGGTAATAGTAGGGGTGACCAAGTACCAAACCAATCCTAAAATTTCCTAAAAAAAACGAGATTGCCGAACCAAAAAATACCAGACCGGTAAAGTACCGAAAAAGAACCATACCATACCGAACCGAATGGTCGATTTGGTATTTGGGATCGGTACGTGGTAACTTCCCATACCGAAAAATCCCGAACCAAACATATATACAAATGTGTTATAAAAGTATTGATGTGTTTATATTTTTCTTTATAAAATAATGAATTGATTTTGAAAAGTTGGTTCAAGTGTAGATGAATTACAAATAATCTTTTATTTAAATAATTATTAATTTGAGTTTTATTTTTTTGTAGATGAATATAAAAAATTAACAAATATTTAAAATACTATTTTGTTCTCAATCACTCTCTTTTGTTTGTGAAATACGAAGTATAAATTAAACTAAATTTTATATGCATTTCTTGCATTTAATTATTCCTTTCTCAATTTTTTTTCTTTCTTTATTTGGATGTACTTTTGATTTTTTAAATAAAGTTTTATACATTTCAAAGGGTAAACTACGTACGTATATATGTATGTATGTATGTGTGTGTGTCTATATATATATATATATATATATTCATCCCAATATTTACCAAAACCGAACCATACCAAACCAATATTTCGGGATTGGGATTGGTACAATCTAAAATCTAATACTAGAGGAAAAGAATGGCATAAATATCATTTTTACTTTAAAAATAGGTGAGGGTGCATCTATGCTCTATTTAGAAATCATAGAGACTTTACAAATGACTTTTGAAAATAGAAGTAAATTTTGGCGCCCTTTTCGTAAACCACAGGAAACACCCATACTATTAGCCTTTTTGTAACGATAACTCATTGCTATTATTGGATTTCTGACTCAATAAACTTGTGATGGATTCGTTCAATTCTTGGTTACTATTCATGTTCTTCAAGTTGTGTTGGCGTCTCCCATTTTTGTGACTGGTTGGTTTAATTTGCTGTTTGAGGTTGGTGAAAGCTTAGTTCTTCCGATCCTCACGAATTGAATGTGAATAGGATAATTGATTATCTGAAATGTGGCTGAGGAGTGGGGACGAAAGCTAGAAGCAAATTGCCTTTATCTAAGTAGAAGGAAAATAAAGGAAATTACAATAATAGCCCTTAACTTAACCCCACTAACACATACTCCCTCCGTCCAAAATTAAAGTTCCCGGTTTGACCGGGCACGCATATTAAAAAATATATAAATGTAATTGACTTCCCCAAAATGCCCTCCAACCCCTCCACTAATTCGTTGCGCATAAAATACGCACAAGCAACAGGAGAGGATGAGACGGCTGCCTTGATGCTCCAGCTATACCTCCCGTTGTCTCATCGTTGCTCTACGGTGTGACCGGCAGCCTTGCTGCTCCACCTTCACCACCGCTAACTTCTTCAATTTCAAAAAGAAGAAAGAAGAAAATTGGGGTCCCTAACTTGGAGTCATCACATCTGTAGAGATATGGTACCTCTTCATCAGATCTGTGAATAATTAAAGATGACGTTGCCGGGTGGAGGAAGAAGAAAAGAAAGAAAGAGAGAGTAAAAGATTGAAGAAGAAAAGGAGGGGGGGACGGGAGAGGAAAGAAAATAGAGAAAAAGAAAAAAAAGAAAGAGGAGGGAGAGTGGGGAAAGAAGAAAGAAGAAGAAGAAAAGGGAAAAAGCAGAATCGGAAGTAAGAGGAAGAAGAAAAGAAAGAGAAGAAAAAAAAGAAGAAGAGTGGGGGTGGTTGCTGCTCTGGACCTGGAGAAAGGAGAAAAGAAAAAGGAGTAGGGAGGGTAGTAAAGACCTTTTACCATAAATAAGTTTCCAAAAAAAGAAATGGGAAGTTTATTTGTGGACGGATGAAAAAGGAAAGTCGGAACTTCAATTATGGACGGAGTGAGTATCTTTGACGGAGGATGAAACGAGTAAAAGATCCCAATTAAAAAAGACTATGAAAATAATATCTGATAATTATGTACTAAATATGAGAAACCTCGAATTATAATGGATCATTTATACAGTTTTTTTCTTTTTCTAATTCATAATGTCTTCGCCCTCTCGATTTTAACACTCATAAGCTTATTTAAAGTCCGTACTTTCATTGTTTCACCTTTAATTTGCATAGTCAACATATTCATAGTCATTGAATTTGTAGTCTACAATCTTCTTGTAAGAATAGTTTCTGATTTTCAGACTCTTTAAGATGTTCCTTCGTTAGACATTTCTCTTTTCTACACATGTAATAAAAACAATTTATGTGAGAAGATCCACAAAATTGATATGCACCTAAGGTGCACCAAAGAAACACTCCATCAAAACATTCATTGTATTTATACTCATTGATATATATATATATATATATATATATATATATATATATATATATATATATATATATATAAAACAGATATTGATGGTGAAAGTGTTGCATTGAAGACTGATGAAAATTCAAATCAAAAGATTCAAAATGGACAGAGGGAGTAACTACTTGCTTCATATTTGTATGACAAGTAATGACAACCTTGAATCCACGTTATTTTCTATTGTCAAACATCTTCCTACGTTTAATGCGCGAAAAATGTTGGTGATTTTAGTGTCATTGACTATTTTGTGTAATTAAATTTACTTTGATAAGACAAGAATTGTAATAGACGTTGTTTAACGAATTAGGCAGTGCGGGGTGCACACTCGTTCAACAATACTTCGTATTATAATTTCATAGCAAGGGTCCGGGTGCGGCAACCCCTAGCAAGGTCTAAGTGGCAGCCCCTGACTTTTATTCTGGCGGGGTTCAAATTGGCACTATTGCTTTATGAAAATCCTTCATATTTTTGTGAATGGAGTCCAAAATGTTAAAAGATTTGGACGTGTGGATAAACGTCAATTTGACCCTAAAACTGCAAGGATCTTTTAGCGCGAACGTTTTCTCTTTAAGAAAACTTTTGCGTTTTTCTATTTCTATCTCTTCGTGCGAACGTTCGCGTCTACGCGAACGTTCATGTCTGATCATCAATTTTTGACTCTATAAACAGAGTCTCGTAGGTATGGTGGAGGGAATCCGATTTTCAGTGCATGTTCTTGATTAATGTCTTATCTGATTAAAATATTTTTGTATACCCTAAAATAACTTTGATCTGAATGCATTCTACGCGATTTGTTAACGCGATTTGTTAACATTGTTTTTGTATCAAGTTATTCTTCTCATTATTTGTTAACGCTGCTTTGAAGCGTTCATCCTCTATTCTAATATCCTGCAAGTAATGTCCTCAATTGAAAATTATTTCACATACTATATCCAAATGTAGGATAAAGCATGCCACTATCATTTATCATTATGCTTTAGCATCAAACATTTACACTATATTTTGCTCAAAGAAATTGAGGGTGAAAAGAAAAGAAAATGAGATGGAAAACAATCTTTCTTGTTTGGTTAGAAAGAAAAATGTTAGTGTCTATCCCACATCAGAAGTTGAATAGAAAAGTAATTGGTATATAAGTTCTTGAGTTGAACTAAGTAATCCATTAGATTCAATCTTTTAATGTGGTTCAACGAAGTGTCTTATAGCCAAGTCTAGTTATCTCTACCCAATTCTAAATTCTATCATGGTATCGAAACAGGTTTTGGCCCACCTCATTAGTCAAAGTGTCCGTTGAGACGTTCATTCCTAGCAGCCTGTTTGTCTTTAGCCCAATTGTCCGTATGGAGTATGTATCCAACGAAATGTGACCCGTTTAACCCGATTGTTCATCTTGAAGTCCATTCCCATCGACTTGTTGTTCGGTGTTGGCGCTCAAAAAAATCAAGGAGATGAGAATACATTTGCAAGAGGTCAACCGGTTAGATTCAAAATCGACCGATTGTCCACTTGAAGGGGAGTGTTAGAGTATATTCCACATCGGAAGTTGAATAGAAAAATAATTTATATATGAATTCTTGAGTTGAACTAAATAATCAATTGGATTCAATATTTTAATTTGGTTCAGCCCAAGTGTCTTATTAACCAATCTAGTTATCCTTACCGCATCCTAAAACCCTATCAAAAAAGAAAAGAAAATGCGAAGACACATATTACTAAGAGGAAGAAAAACAAAATTCTTCCTATTTTGATGAAGAAAATGATAGAATCTCATTTTCTTCTCTTTTACTTCCAAATCTCCTTGAACCAAATATAGTGTTAGAAAAAAACGAGCTGCAAACAAACTTTTTTTAAAAAAAAGTAAAAAAACGATTACACACTTACAGTTATGCTACACGACCAACATAACACTTGTAATAGACTAATAGTCATGCAGTGTTTAAAATGTCTTCACCCAATAACGTGCAATTAATCCATCAAAATGGAATAATCATATATAGTAGCTTAAGTGCCATATATGTACTCGTTAAATGCTTTACCGTGGAGCATATATATGCTAAGAGTAGCACAATAATCTTCTTCTTCTTCTTCTTCTTCTTGTATTCACCAACCTTTTCTAATTTCATCACTTGCACATCTCATCCCATTAAAAGAAATTCAGCTTGACCAATTAACAAGATACAAATGGCATACGCTGGACATTAACATAATAATATTTATCTTTTTTTAAAATATTTCCATTTCACAAAATACGTGTTAGCCTGTTGTACGTGGGTATTGTGGTACAAGCTCCACGTTAAACACAGTTTCATAATACCTTTGGCTGAGAATTGTGATCAGTATCCTGGCTTCTAATATTCAAGTGACTAAAAATAAGCTAAAAGAGAACGATAACAAATCATAAAACTCCACCATAAGTTCTTGAAAGTTCCATTCCATAGGATCATATGCCCTAGCCATATCAAGTTTCAAGCCCCCCAAATATTCTGCACACGCGCTCGAATGCTGACATCGTAGGAGTATTAGTACAATGGAAAGGTCGACCGCAGGAAGAGGCTACCTTGGAAGAGTATGATTTGGTGGCGTCACAATTTCCATATTTTCGACATGAGGACAACTCTGTTTTTCACGGAGGGAGTAATGATATGACTCTGAATAAGACTAAGCCACTGCTCACTTCAGCGGCGCGGGAATAAGCATCTGACTTAGTCATGTTTTATGACTTGGTCATGTTTATTTGTTTATTTACCTAAATCTGAGCCAATCCCTTTATATTAGTAATTGAGCCAGTCACAATTGTTAGTCATTTAAAATATCCCTTTTTATTAGCAATTGATTCAGTCAAAGTTGTTAGAGCCAATTGAAACAATTGTGGAATAATGGGATCACTATCCAAACCCAAGGAGCCAATTTCTCTTTTCTGTTTTTTCCCTTGTATTACTACACTATTTATACCCTTAGCGAGTTTATGCTAAAGGGGAGGAGAAATATTAAGATTTATATTTTGAGAGATTCTCTGGGGCTTCTTAGGCCCCGTTTGGCATCAGCGTCAGAGATTAGCGTTAACGTTTTGAAAAAGCTATCCGACGGTAGCCTTTAGCGTTAGCGTTTTCAGAATTAATCTGCACCGTTAAAATTTTATCCAAAACGCTAACGCTAATTGAAAATGCTGTTACCAAACAAAGCCTTAGTCTCAGTAAATCGAGATTCTTGATTTAAAGAGATTTAGAAGATTTTTTCTTGTTTTTAGTTTCCAGTTTTTGGTATCTATCGCTTTGGTATTAGAGACTAGATCTTGCCCAACTATGGTAAACAGTCGATCTTCCGCAACTGATGGCAATCCTAATGTCGGCAACACCCTAGCACAACAGAGTGATACCTTGGCCGCCATCGCAGCCCGACTAGACATTCTAGACGAGTTACAAGTCAAAGTAGCAGCTCTAGAAGTCCACAACCGCAATCCAACAACAAAGAAGAAGAAGATCTATGCCGACAATTTTGAGGAGGAATCAGAATCTTATTCGCGACGACACTTCTGGCCTCCGTATGCAAAAATTGAGTTTCCCCAGTTCTCAGGAGGTGACCCGCGTGATTGGATTTTGAATGCAGAGAAATATTTTTGGCATTACGAAACACTGGATGAAGAAAAGATGGACATAGTATCTTGAAGGAGATGCATTGGACATGTTTTCTTGGGCTTTATTGGAATGTACGGTGTTGTACTGGGAGAAATTGGTCATGATATTGCAAGAACAATATAGACCTCCTGAATACCAAAATCCAGATGAGTACCTCGTAGGTGTTCAAGAGGTGAGAACTGTCCAAGAATATCGTGTGGAATGGGCGCGACAAGTAGCAAGGGTGAAAAACTGGCCCGATCACTGCCTGTTCAGGATTTTCCTAAACGGATTGAAGGAGAAATTGCGCTCTTAGGTGAGAACACACAAACCTCAGAGTGTCTATCGTGCGACAACTTTGGCCCTAGAGATGGAGAAAAAGCTGCAGGGTACCAAAAGTACCTGACCTTGTTCAACTGCAAGTTCACCCTGGGCCACTTACAGCACCAACTCGAGCAGGAATCAATCTGTACCTGATTCGAGTTCCTTGGCAAACACCCTCGACTTTGCACAATCCTACGTCACAAAACCCAGGCAGCCTCTGTCATTCTTTTTCGCGCTAATTCGTGGGGTACTACTCGGTAAGAACGACGAAACAAAGGGCTTTGTTTCCCCTATGGAGACCCATTTCGGCCAGGGCACTTTTGTACGACATTCACTTTCTCACTAATGGAAGTAGATGAGGGAAATCGAATTCCGGAAACATTTGAGCCTGCTCCTAAAATGGAAGAAATCATAGAAGAGGCATAAATTTCTTTCAATGCCATTCTTGGGACATTATCAGCAGCAACAATGAAGCTACAAGGACCAATTCAAAACCCCAATGTCATGTGTTTGGTTGATAGCGACTCCACCCACAACTTCATCTTAGAAAGGTTGGTAAATGAATTAAATTTAGTTACCACCTCTATTCTGGTGTTGGGGGTACAGATTGGGGAAAAATATGCAAGGCCATAAAGTTGCAGCTTCCAGCTTTGAGTATTACTCAAGATTTTTATCCATTTTTTCTCTGGATCTGATCTCATGCTGGGCATCAAGTGGTTGGCTTTCCTGAACACTATTCAAGCCAACTGGAATAAAATGTTTTTGATTTTCTAAGTAGATGGAAAACGGTATAAATTACAGGGAATTCCCAAATCCACTAAATCTGAAGCGGCTCTACACTCCATGATGGCTGTTGGCACTAATGAGTTTTCAACCAGCAGCGAATTCATGGATTTGGAGGAATTGTATATGGAATTTGCAGCTGTCTTTTGTGAGCCTACAACACTACCACAATTCCAGGAGCACTACCATGTGATTCCTCTTCTTCCTGGATCAATTCCACCTAATTTGAGACCTTACAGGTGTCCATATTTTCAGAAAAATGAGATCGAAAGACAGGTTAATGAGTTGCTTTAGAAGGGCTTCATCTGTCACAGTTCAAGTCTGTTTGTCAATTCGGTGCTCTTAGTAAAGAAAAAGGATGAAACATGGTGTATGTGTGTTGATTACAGGGCACTCAACAAACTCACCATCCCATATAAGCATCCTATTCCCAATACTGATGAATGATTGGATGAGTTAAATGGTGCTGCTTGTTTTTCAAAAAGTGACCTTCGCTCTGGCTATCACCAAATTAGTGTTTTAGAGGCCGATATTCCCAAAACAGCTTTTAAAACTCATAATGGACACTATGAATATGTCTTCATGCCATTTGGCCTCACTAATGCTCCTACTACTTTCCAGGCAGCAATGAACAATCTTTTTAGACCTCACTTAAGAAAGTTTGTGTTGGTTTTTTACGATATCTTAATCTATAGCAAGGATGTAGACCAACACAGGGAGCACCTTCACACTATTTTATCAGCATTGTAGCAACACTCATATCACGTGAATGCAAAGAAGTGTGAACTAGGACGGACTTGAGCCTCCTTTTTGGGACATAAAATCTCTTCTCATACACAATGTGATGAGATTGCCATAGTAAGAGATTGACCAGTGCCTAGCAGTGCAACTGAATTACGGGGATTTCTAGGACTTACTAGATACTACCGCCGGTTCTAACCAAGAAAAATGCTTTATGTTGGTCTTATTCTGCCTAAAAAGCTTTTGACAAACTCAAATGGTCTTTGAATAATGCACCAGTGCTTCAATCTGTTGAATTCGTGAATGAATGTGATGCTTCTATGGAAGAAATAAGAGCTATTATTTTTCAAAAAGGTCATCTCATTGCTTTCTATAGCAAGAGTTTCTCTTTTTCAAACAGGTACAGATCTACATACGACCGGGAGTTGTTAGATGTGGTCTTAGCCATACAACATTGGCGTCATTATGTGCTGGGACGTCACTTCACAGTTAGAGTTGATCATCACAGCTTCAAGTGCCACATGGAGCAGAAAACTCTCACTAATAGTCAACATCGCCTTATTCTGAAACTTCTCCCATTTGATTTCAGCACTATTTACAAAGCTGGAAAAGAGAATGTAGGAGCATATGCTTTGTCTCGGAGGCCTCAACATGCATATTTCTTACACATGGTAATATCGGTACCTCTTGACTATGTTAATCTTGAGGAGGCATTGCAGTAAGATTTATTCACGGCACCCATCATTGAGGCTTGAAGCGTGACGCCAAATCTAAACCAGAGTACTCCTTGATCCAGCAGAAGCTTTACTATAACGGCAGGTTAGTCATTCCAAGAAGCTTGACCATCTGTGCAAAGCTATTAGAGGAAGCACACATGACACCATAAGGGGGGCAGGGGGTTCTTAAAGGTTTTAAAGAAACTGTTCGATATGGTATTTTTTGGCCCCAAATGAAAGGTGATGTTAAAACTTTCATTCAAGAATATTTTGTTTGCCAAAAAAGCAAATATGACACGCTTTCTCTTGCCAAGTTATTACAACCTTTACCCATACCTCAGCAAGTTTGAGAAGACATTTCGATTGATTTTGTGGTGGGATTACCAAAATCAGGACACTATGATTCTATTTTTGTGGTTGTTGATCATCTCAGTAAGTACTGTCACTTTATTTGTTTACACTATCAATACATTGCAAAAAGTGTGGCAACCAGGTTATGTGAAGAAATTGTAAAATTGCATGGCATGCTAAGATCAGTTGTTTCAGATCGTGATCCTTAATTTTTAAGTGCGTTTTGGCACGAACTATTCAAATTGAGCCAGACTCGTTTGTGGATGAGCACATCTTATCACCCCGAAATAGATTGTCAAACAGAGGTGGTCAACTGTTGTCTTGAAGTTTATTTAAGGTGTTTTGCCCATGAACAACCCAATGTATGGAGTAAGTATTTATGTTGAGCTGGATACTCTTTCAACACTAGTTATCATGTTTCCACCGGCACAACACCTTGTAAGGTAGCTTATGGGCGAGATCCACCACCACTTCATCCATTTGTCCCTACTAAAACTCAAGTAGAAGAGTTGGCACAACAATTACTCATCAGGGATGCGATTCTCAAATTACTTCATGATAACTTACTTAGGGCGCAGAAGCACATGAAGGCATATGCTGACCAACATCACCGGGAGTTACACTTCAATGTTGGCGAGTCAGTTTTTCTGAGAATTCTGCCCTTTAGGCAGCGTTCCTTGACCAATCAGAAGTATATGAAACTCTCTCCGCGTTTTTTAGACCTTACAAAATATTGCGAAAGATCAGAGAGGTTTCATGCGAGCTTAAATTGCCTACATCAGCTAGAATCCATCATGTTTTTCATGTGTCATTACTACGAGCAGCTCAACTTTTGATAGAGTGCTTTTAATAGAGTGCTTTTAAGGAGTGCTTTTGATAGAGTGCTTTTAAGGAGTCAGTTAAAAGCACTCTACTTTTGATAGAGTGCTTTTACTCCACCAGCCGAACTAACCATTGCACCTGATATGGAGCTACTATTAGAGCCCAAAAATGTTCTCCACACGCACTCGAATGCTGACACAGTAGAAATGTTAGTACAATGGAAAGGTCGACCGCTGGAAGAGGATACTTGGGAAGAGTATGATTTGGTGGCGTCACAATTTCTAGATTTTTGACTTGAGGACAAGTGTGTTTTCCACGGAGGAAGTAATGATATGACTTTGAATAAGACTAAGCCACTGCTCACTTATCAGCGGCGCGGGAATAAACATTTGACTTAGTCATGTTTTATGACTTTGTCATGTTTATTTTTTTATTTACCTAAATTTGAGTCTATCCCTTTATATTAGTAACTGAGTTAGTCAAAGTTGTTAGTCATTTAAAATATCCCTTTTTATTAGCAATTGAGTCAGTCGAAGTTGTTAGAGTCAGTTAAAATAATTATGGAATAACGGGATCACCATCTAAATACAAGGAGTCAAATTTCTTTTTTCTGTTATTTTCCTTGTATTACTGCACTATTTATATCCTTAGCCTGTTTATGCTCAAGGGGAGGAGAAATATTACAATTTATATTTTCAGAGATTCTCTCGGGCTTCTTAGTCTCAATAATTTGAGATTCTTGATTTAAAGAGATTTAGAGGGTGTTTGGCAGTGCGCTGCTTTTAATAATTTAGCTTCTGTTTTGAGTGGAAATGATTTTATTCTGTTTGGCATGTCAGCTTCTATTTTTCACCACCACTATTTTATACACAAAACACCGTTTTGGAGAAGCAGGTATGAGGTGCTTTTACTTTCAGTTTTTGTAGAAATCACTTTATTCAGAAGTTAATCACTTCCAAACAAGCTCTTAGAAGATATATTCTTGTTTTTAGTTTCCAATTTTTGGTATCACAATGTACATTAGGGCCCACAACATCCCAAAACTTTTGATAGAAGGCAGGATTTAAACCATTTTGGCCTAGAAACTGGTCTCGGTGCATATCAAAGAGTGCAGATTTCACTTCCTCTTTGCCAAACGAGCGAAGCAATAACTAGTTATGTGTACCTTCCACTTTGGATTGCATCTCATCAAATACCATAGATAGCCCCCCATCTTCGGAACGAAGGATATGTTCAAAGTAGTTAGTGACCACCACGAGCAACTCAACCCCATCATTCCACGCCCCCGTCGAATCACGGACCCGGTGATTACGATTCTTTTTTCCTTCGATGGTTAGCATATTGGTGAAAATACCTGGCATTGGCGTTCGTAGAATGTAGCTAGTCTTGTGTCGCCAATTTACACATCCTCGTCTCTGCATCAACTTAATTAAATTTTTGTCTCCACCAGCATCTCGTCTACCTCTCCACCCCTCCTCGTTGAAAGGCATATGCACTGAAGTCCTCCACGAACCTGTAACAACATCCCTGCACTCAATTCATGGACCTTTATTACACAATAAGTGGGCACAGTGATCTGACCATTGCATGGCTTGATTGAAAACAAAAGCTACCATAAAACAATTCCTCCCGTCAAAAGAGGCCACTGCCCGGTCTAACCACTCCTCCACCAATGTGAGCTTTCCCGGACTCTATTCCCACGTGAAAGGATAGCCTTTCATCCCGGTGGTGATCAATGCCGGGGGAATCCCCCCCCTTTCAGAACGAGCACACGTCATCAAAATCACCAATGATCAGCCAAGAAAATAGTAGTATGACTTTTAGTCTTTATATAAGTAAATCGTTTTTCCAAGGTCTGATATGTACATCCGTACAAGCAGTCAAGCACTCATATAGGTAGCAATTCAGCATTTTTAAAACACAATCGTGACACAGCAAATTACAACACTCAATTCTTTGTAATGTCAACAGTTTTATTGTGCTAATAAATTCTTTCTAGTGAGACTGCAAACAAAATGATCTCTACAAGAGAGATTTTACAACAATACATAGGGCAGCTTCTAAGTCATCTCAATTATGACCTAAAAGGCTGCCATGAAATAAAGGCTAACTGAATTTTACAATGTGCATGAAATGCACCACTAAATGTATGCACTGCTGTGGTAGGGTGGAAGAGGGGAAAAAAAACCTCAACAGCCCTTTATAATGCTAGCAACGTTTTGTCCAATCTGCTCCTTCGTTTTCTCACAAATAGGAAAATCACCAATGTACATATCAAAAAATGCCCCTGGGAAAGCAGACTAGATAGCATAAATATTTTTTCAGGCCAATTTCTTTCTGAAAGAGACTAGTTGTAGTTATCTTGTGTCACCATTGGATAGCTCATTAAAAAACTGAACATTTCAATAATAAAAACCTAAGACCAGAACCACTTACTACACAACTCCTTGCTATGAACTGCTCCGATATGATTGCCACCAACTGCATAAACAAAAGACCAATGTTAAGGTAAAATAAGCCCAAATTGCATCCCTGTGTTGTCTAAGTGAGACATGAACTTACTCTCGGTGATTAAATGCCCATCAGCCGTACGCCGAAAATTGATTGTTGTCCCCTAAAATTTTTATATTCATACAAAAGATTCAATTACATAATGCTATGTTGTGTGTGTGTGTGGGGGGGGGGGGTTATGCAATAACAAACAGGTCCTTACAACATGTAAAGGAATGTCGTGTGAGAAAATAGAGCCAAATCTTTGTATGCAGTGAAAATCAGTATCCGGGTTTGTCTGAAAATGTCAATTGTCAATATTTGAGCTTAACATTACTTCAATGGAAACAATCACCCACAACAACTGACCTTCAACAATCGAGCACGCAGAGATTTCTCAAAAACACTGCCATGGAAAAATAAAAATTAAAACCTTAAAACAAGAAAACTTCATCACTGTCTTCACAATACAATTCTGAAACTAGATAAATGCATAATATTGACTTACTCCTTGACCGTTTTAAACTTGATTCCATTGCAGCTAACCACAAGCCTAACAGTCATGTTGATATCCTCCCTGCGTGAAGGCAACAGATAAACATGAAGCGGTTGCAGCTTCGTTTTCTATGTTGGAACACCCAAAATGTACACAGTACACTAGTCAAAATTATATGATGTAGCAACATTCCCATTTGTGGGTAACAAATATCATCTTAATTAAAGGGTTTTTGCTGCAATGTTTGCCAAGGAACACTGAGGCAAAGGCCAAGACATAGTTTACATTGGAAGTTTCATTCTTTAACTAAAATAAATAACAATTCTAATAAAATATACTTTGTAGCTACCTCAAAAGATCCTGGTAAAACTCAGAGAGGTTGTTCAGCTCACATGCTGGAACAGAAGCATATTTCTGACCTAACTTCTGGCAGACATCAAAGGGATGAACATCTAAGGATAATGCACAAACAGATCAAGTGTCAAGGATTAAATTTGAAGCAATAATACAAGCAACAAATATGTTTCTGTACACAAAAGGGGAACTCACAAAACCCAAAGGCATACACCTTCAAAGATTTGATTCTGATAACAGTCATAATACGAGATCCTGTTCCAACAAGGACCTGAAATGTACAACCTTTATTGTTTACATTCCTAAATTGTCACTCAATGAAGTGCAGATTTGATGTCATATGATCACCTAAAATCCTCATTTAGAAAGTACAGCTGAGTATAATTTCAGCATAAATTACATTTGAGCTTTTTCTCCATCAAACGAGCTTGTAAATCCTTTTAGTCTATTATGTTTAACAAACTATACTATGTACAAGTTCTAATTCCAAATATCATCACCTTAACCCAAATTATGTTGGGAGCCATTATATAATTAATCCCTAACAAAATGAGGTTCCCATTCAGTATTCACCATATTCACGTGTTCAAACCTTATCTACTATCTTTGCCTACTTTTGTTACTCATTTGATAAAATAATCATAGTGATGTAACCTCTTGTTTTGTAGAACTTTTGATGTAGTTCTCTCATATATAAACTTTATTTTTTAAATTTTACATCAATTTTTAAATAAATCAAATTGAAAATAACTTAAATAAAAAATCTTACACCAACTCAGGATCTTCATTTTGGGATGGAGGGAGTATGTAAATATATCATCACATGTGTGCTTGCTTCTTTCGTGCTCCTCTTCTTTGTCATGCCCTTTTCCCTTACATGTTTTCTTGAGTTACTATTTTTTTGAGTCGCGGGTCTTTGGTATGTTGGGGTGAGGCAACCATGCACTCACCCTCCCCCAATTTTATTGGGTATGTTGTTGTATCACAACAGATATGACTCTCAATTTGAGATCTGTTATATACTCCGTAGTTAATTAGTTATATAATCAGATTCATCACTATATTTGTCAACATAATTTCAAATGGACAATTAATTGTTTAAACTTTGTTAAACCTATAAATTCATAATACTAGACCTATATGACAAATAAGGAGCTAAGGGGCTTTCTTGAAATATTCTTGCTCTTAATAGTCTGTATTTGAGTGCAACATTACACAAACTTGTAGACAAGCCCCAAAATGCTTCAAAAATATTCCTTGGAGGAAAATATCATTCTGGACAACAAAATTGGCACTATAAGCTTGAAGATAACATCCTAAATTGTATATGAACTTCCCTATCATGAAACACTTCCCATTACAATGTCCAATTAATGTCCCATTACGCATTTATTGCATTAAGAAAAAATTGTGTTGAATAGTCCCAAAGTTAGTTTGTGTACCTCTGATGTAAAACTTAAATTCTTATCTCCAGCAATTATGTCATCCAAGATGACAGGAAATTCAATCCCAGTTATGGGCTCAACAGCAAGCCCAGACCAATTTATGCTTCGAAAGAAAGAATTAGTGCATCCATGATGATCATCATAACATGGAGTTTGATCCATTGACATTTGTGCTTCTGTAGTAGCAGCTTCCAGAGGAACTGCAAGTACATTCCTAGATCTGATTTCCATAAACAGCATGCATTATAACAAATAGTCATTCTATAGTCTATAAATGTCATCCAAATCAAAGGTTAATAGCCTCAATTTAAAACAATTGAACAAATGAACTTACACACTGTCAAATGGAGGCACCAATATTGTTGCTAATGAGAGTGCAGGAATCAACTGAAGATATGTAGCTTCTTTGAATATATGCTTCATAGCAAACTCTGAAAATTTTCTTACTATCACTGGCATTGCAAACTTCCCTCTACAGCTAGATTTGGAGAAATGACTGCCAGAAGAAATTTTCTGCCATTCGATAAAAGACTCAGAGCTTCTGTATGATCCATGCGGATTTTGCGATATTCTCTTGTTGATATTTGTATTTGATGAACTGGCAACCCATAATACCAGGGAACCAGCAAAATTTTTGAAACAACTGAAAACTTCTTGAAGTGCCACACTTGAATTATCAACAACAGAGCTAATATGATTGAGTAAATTCATTCCGAAATTGTAATTCACAAATGGTTCCATTGGAAATATTTGAGATGGATCTTTATCAAAATCCATGAAGATCAAATACTGCTCCCAAATCACCACCTGTATGCAGGGACACGTAGAAGAATTCAGTTCAAAAAGCATTCTTAATGCAGCAGCAAAAGCTACTGGCACATTGTTTCGAGAAAGGAAGCATTGATCAATAATTCAATACGGAGTACTTAGTGTCAAGAATACAGCAGAAGAGTAACAGACAGATATTTGAACCCTGTTGCTTGGAATGAAGTCCACCTTAGCAATGTATTTGAAAAGTTAGAAAACTTATCCCACCACTAATATGCCATAGGAATGAAGTTTCCGTAAGTGAAATATACGAATTACCAAAGAAAAAATATGTGACTCCCAAAAATTCTCTCTTCTATAAAAATCCTTATATTGAATCAATGAAGGTATGAACATTTTCCATCATTTCCAATGAAGCCAAAGATATTCTATTTTTTGGCTTTGGGGTATGTTGAAGTAGCAATTAGTCAAAACAACTTTCTATGCCCACCATGGGTCCATCTTGAAACAACCCCTCTGTGGACGTGATTACCTGTTGAGCCTCTCTACTTTCGAGTAGGGTAAGGTCTGGGTACACACAACCTCCTCAACCCCTGCTTTTGTGGGATTCAACTGGTTGTTCTTGTTGTTGCTGCAATGAAGGTACGAACATTTAAATAAGTTATTCAAAAAGAAATCCTCATTAGAAGAACTTCTTCAGCTAATGGATCGCGATTCAGAAATGAAACATTACGAATGCATCAAAAAAAAGCAAAATTCGAAAGTGGAAAGAAAACAGACCCGGAAAGGAATATTTCGGAATATTCTGAACGATTCAAAAGGTTTTTGTTACAGAAGGCAATAGGAAAGCTGTTTTTCCTCTTAGCGTTTTGTAGTTTCCGAGCGGTAAAACCAGGAATATATGCTTCGAAAACGAACAGGTAGGAGCCGGATACCTTTGACTCGGCGGACAAAATCAGAAAAATTATAGATCAAGAACCATCTGATCTTGGTAGATTTTGTAAAGTGGGAAGGTTCCCATGGGAACCAATGTCATGAGATGACGGGGCGCTCCGGTGCCCTGTTCGTAAAATTGACGGTTCCTACCCCTTCTAACCCTCTCGATAAGCCCCCACCCAGCCCCGACCCGAACACACCCTCCCACCCCCTTCAATTGCACCCCATAAGTCGATTTTGACTTTGGAGTCAAAATCGACTTATGGGGTGCAATTGAAGGGGGTGGGGGGGTGTGTTCGGGTCGGGGCTGGGTGGGAGGGTTTACCAAGGGGGTTAGAAGAGGTAAGAACCGTCAATTTTACGAATGGGGCACTGGAGCGCCCCCGGGTCATCCCATGACATTGGCTCCCAATGTCATGGGAACCAAGGGGGTTTTTCATATTAATTAATACTTACTTATCCTTTGTTCCTAAATTTGATAGTTATTACCATAAACCCCTCACCCAATACCGACTTCAACTATCTTCTACCTACGTCAATTGTGGAATACAAGTTTAGGGCTTGTTTTCTTTACCTGATCCTGATTATATCTAATTTGTTTTGGTCTTATTTGATTGCAGTTATATTTAAAGTTGTTTCCAATCTGATCTAGTTTAATCTAATATGGTCTGATAAGATCTTATTCAAATAAGAATAAATAATAAGTAATAAGAATGGGTTGAGAAACAAGCTCTCAGTTGACTTTTGGGTAAAAAATTATGACTAGCGAGTTCAACATGAGCTTAATGAGAGAGCTAAACTTTTTCTTTGGCCTTCAAATCAAACAACTCAAAGATGAAATATTCATCAGCCAAAACAAGTATGGGAATGAATTGGTGAAAAAGTTTGTTCTTGATCCAGAACTCTAAAGCATACTCCACTCCGATAAGTGCATTGGCAAATCTTGACGTGGATGAAGCTAAAAAACGAGTAAGGGAAACGTCAAAACCAGATATTATGTTTTATGTTTGCTTCTTTGTGCGTTTCCGATCATCACCTAAAGAATTTCATCTAGCCGTTGTCAAATGTATCATTCGGTATATCAAAGGTACAATCAATTTAGGTTTTTAATATCCTAAAAATATAATGCCAATCTACGTTTGACTTGCTATAGTGATGCAAACTTTGGAAGGTATAGGATTGATCTGAAAAATACTAGTACATGTCAAATTTTAAGACATGATCTAGTTTCTTGGTTTTCTCGTAAGCAATTTTCGGTAGTAGTATTCATTGAGAAGAGGAGTACGTTGGAATGGGTAGTTGCGTAGCTCAAATTCTATTGGTTGCTAAAACACAAAGACTACAACTTGAACTTTACCGATTTTCCTATGTTTTATGATATATCAAGTGCAATAAATATCTCCAAAAATCATGTCTTGCATTCTAGAACAAAACACATCGAGATTAGACATCATTTTATACGTGATCACGTATCAAAAGCTAATATTTGTGTTGAACATGTGAACACCCTTGATCGTTGTGCGGATATTCCTACAAATTCTCTCAATGAAAAATAATTTTTGCATATATATTGTGAAAGGGGAATGATTTAATTATGTTGATTTATTGGTTCCCATTATATATATATATATATATATATATATATATATATATATATATATATATATATATATATATATATATATATATATATACTCCGTGTATATATATATATACACACACACACACACACATTTATGTTTTGGTTCTGGTGAGAATGCGATCTTATGAAAGAAATAAGAATGAATCTAGTACTTTAGATTGTAAGATCTAAGGGTCAGGATTGCATCAAAAATATGTGCACCAAAATGGTTTGAAAATGCGTCATGTCGAAATAGACCAAAATCCTTTGAAAATGTACTATCTCAAAATCTAAGTGCATAATGCAATCTGAGCCGCACGATGCATAAGATCCAAAAGCTAGATTCTATTCTTATTTCTTTCACCAAGGTGCATTCGCACGTGAACCGGCCCATATATATATATATATATATATATATATATATATATATATATATATATACACACACACACACTCTCTCTCTCTCAAATTAATAGGATATATATACACTCCAAGAGGCCTTAAGTTGCCACATGTCACATTCTCACAAATTAATACTCTAAAATTTTATATTAAATGATATAAGGATATAATATATATATATATATAATATATATATATATATATATATATATATGATTTGCAGTATAGAACGGGCAAAACTAACAACTAAAAAGAACCCTTGTAAGTAGGGTGTCAAACCTCAAGGAGACGTGAGTTAATTTAATTTAAACAAAAGTTTACAAAAGAAGTTGTAAAATATTTTTGGTCTTTTTGGTTTTAGAGATAAAATAAAAAGTGTAAAAGGAGAGAGTTCCAAACAACACAAAGTTTTTGATGATGAAAAGTTTGGGGTAAAAATTGGTAAATTAATTGTCCAATGTTTTTATAAAAGTTGGACTATCAATTTATTTTTGTATAGAATGTGTGGAGTTGCAGAAAAGTATTAAGGGACGCTCTCGCAGTTCACCTAAATAATAACTATTCTGACTTTAACACGCTAATTATAAATCCGGAGTAATTATTTAGTAACAACGGCAACCATAATTATTTTATTGTATGTTTACCCAATTTAATGGTGTAAAAATACAACTCAATAATTATGTCCACCCGAAAGTTTTCAATCCCGGTAAAAGGTAGAGAAGGCTTACAGTGTATTTAAAAAGTGTTCTATTTTATGATTATGTCAATTTTAGATCAAAATCCTTTTAACTAGGGGTGTAAACGGATAATATCCGTTACGGATATGGCATATCCGAATCCGTATCCGTTTAAGTTTAGGAATATCCGAATCCGTATCCGTATCTGGCGAATATTTACTATACTATATCTGAATCCGTATCCGACGGATAATTATCAGTTTCGGATATATCTGAATCCGATTAGATATCCGAAAGTAACCGAATCTGAAAATATCTGAGTCCATTAAAAAATCCAATTAGATATCCAAATCTATTTATAAATAAATTAAACACAGTCCAAAACTATAATTGAAGTCCATAATACATTAATACCAAAAAAACTTTAGGATACAAAAAAACAATAGTCAATATTTTACCAAATATCTAATAATACGAACAAAAATATAAATTTCTAATCGATAAAGTACAAATCGTATTTAATACATCTCAAAATTCTCTCAAGAAGATAATCTTTGATGCATCCAAAATTGCAAGTTATTTCACTTGCTTCATACTTCAAAACCCACAATATACCAAACCTGTTAACATGTTTTGAAGTAGGTTTTTTCATTTTTTTCTTAAAAATTTCTTTGTGGGCTTTTTCTTTTTTTACATAATAGGGTAACATATTGGGAATTAACAAATATATTAGTAATGGTAGACTATGTAAATACTTGATACTAGGATTATATTTATTCAAAAAATTATTCGGTATTCGGATAAACGGATATTGATAAATGGTTATTTAAACGGATGTATATTCGGATCGGATTTTAAACGGATCGGATATACAATTACCATATCCGTATCCGTTTAGTAATCGGATACGGATATTCCTTCTTGGTAAACGGATTTTCGGCTATCCGTTGACAGCCCTACTTTTAACAATCATGTTTATAATAGGGCCCTTAATAATCACAAACATTCAAAATTTATTTATTTTTAAATACAACATCTAATAAAAATAAAATCAACAATCCATGTTAAAAATATTTAAAACATTAAGATGGACAATTAATTACACCAACTTCTAACCCCAATGGAATTTAGAAGTTCATGGTTTGAAGCTTAAACAAATAAATATTTATTACAAATATAAAAAACCTTACAAAATGGAAGATGTGTTCTTGAGCTCCAAATGTAATAAATGGTGTTGATGATGATGAAGATGGAGTAATTTTTATATGTTTGGAAGAAGAAAGTGGTGAAATATTAGTGATGGAGGAGGAGAATTTCGGATGGGAAAAAGGAGAAAAATGGGGGGTTCCAACCTTTTTGAAAAACAGAAGTGTTGAGTTTTTATAGATGAATTCGTATATGCGGAGTATATACAAACAGTCCCACTAAGAATCAATACAAACACAATAGTGCACATGGAAATGAGGCTACATGTCGTGCCGCGTGACCCGTGTTCGAAGCTTCCCACTATTTACTGTTTTGTCATTTTTCTTTCTCAGTTCATGGCCCGATAATGTGATGAACAAGACTGGGTGGCGTGGTGGGTCGAGCTTCTAGTTCCCTACCCAATGTCTAAGGTTCAAAACCCAATGGTGTTTTTTTCCTTACTTTTTTATTTAATTCGTTCTTTTCTTCAAATCTCTTCCATTTCTTTTTGTCCCAAATTTGCATGTTTATTCTCCGTTCTTGCAATTATTATCAATACGTCCAAATGACCTCAAATTACCTGCAAAGCATATAAAACCAAGCATAGGACCGCTCTACCAAAATAAAACGGAAAATTGACATAAAATGTAAACATTAATTCAATTGGGACTCAAAACTCCTTCAAATATGCCTAAAAAGTGTATAAAATATGTGCATATATACATACACACACACACACATATATTGGGATTGACTCTAGTGAGATGACACTTTATGGTGAGATGACATGCTTCGGTCAGATGACGCAAAGTTCACCACACTACACTACAAAGCTCACCAATTGACAATGCAAAGCTCACCTAGAAATAAAGAAAAGCTCACCACTTTGAACACCAAAACTTACCTTTTTTTTAAATTCTGAAAATTAAAAAATTAATTAAAAATAAAATAGCAACACCGGTCAACTACCGGTCAACGTCAGTAATAGGTGGCGGAGCAGCGGCGGCCGGCGGCGGCACGGTGGCGGCGGCGATCGGAGTCCGGAGACGGCAGCTGGCGTTGGTCGCCGAAGTCCGGCGACGGCGACCGGCGGTGGTCGCCGGAGTCCGGCGGTGGTCGCCGGAGTCCGGCGGTGGCGGCCGGAGTCCGGCGGCAGGCGGCGGTCAACGGTCAAAGTCTAGTCAACACCCTTCCTTTGATTTTATTTTTTTTAAAAAAATTTAAAGTGTTGAAAAAATATGGTGAGCTTTGCCTTACAGTTTGGTGAGCTTTGTAGCTTTATCTTTGGTGAGTTTTGCAGTGGCTAGTGGTGAGCTATGCGTCATCTGACCGAAGCATGTAATCTCACCATAAGGTGTCATCTCACTGGAGTCAATCCCATATATATATATATATATATATATATATATATATATATATATATATATATATATATATATATATATATATATATATAGGATTGTTCTTCAAGAAAAGTTTGACCACATTACCTGCAAAAAATAAAGGAGGTTAAAATCTTACACATGAAAAAGTGATCAAATATTACATGCGGTAAAAGATTAGATTCTTATATTTTTGTTATTGTAATTCTTGTTGTTATAAATTATTAATATTGTTATTATTACTAGTATAATTATAATTATTGTTGTTGTTGTTGTCTTCACGTTATACCTTTAAGATAAAAAAATATTGTTACTTTTCATACACAAAAAAAACTACTTTTGCAAAAAATTAATTAGAATATAAAATTGGAATAAATATCAAAATTTTAAATATTTAAAAGTTGTTGTGGCTACGGTGCATGTCACTTTATTTATGCAATTTTTATCATAAAATATATATTTGTAATTATACTATAAATATTACAAGATTTTGTTTTGAATAACAGACATGTCACATAATGTAATCAAATATATTTTTTCTTTAATGATTGATTTTTTTCATTGTAACCCTACTTTTAGAATAAAGACATAGAACTTTTTTTTTACTTTTTTCATGTTCTACTTCTACCGGAGCCGCGAACAACGAGAGATAGGCCCAAGGTGATATTGTTTAATGAACAAACTAAAGATGCAATGAAACAGTTTAGAGATAAAATATCAGTTAATATTCTACAATGCAATTAAACTCAATTAAAGATACTAAATACGAAGTATAGTTTTTACAATATAGTTATGTTAAAAATGATTGGATTATTTATATTCATATGCACAATATTTTACATATTAGAGTCAATAAAAAATAGATCAAATAAATGAAAGTATAACTTTTTTGTTAGTCAGTATTTTAACTATTGGTGATATTATTTGTTATCTGATTTTGTTTTTTACACTTTTTGGGTCGTTTTTTAAGATGTAGTTCTCTCTTGGTTTTCATAATGTGTTACTCCCCACCCCATTAAATTATTATATTTTAGATTAAAATATTGATGTTTTACTTATATAACTTTAGATTAAAAAATATTTTATGCAACTATTTTATCCATAATTTTTTCAAATAGGTTCAAATACTAATGTTTTTCTATTTTATCTTGTAGATTAATATATAAAATGGTATTATTCATATTAAAAAGTTGAAGAATAAATAATAATCAATGCCAATCATAATAATAGTGAGATGAAAAAAAAGAATAATTTATAAACTATACTTATGAACATAATAGGTGTAATAATAATAATATATCGTTTTTAGAATAATTTATCAGTAAGGAGAAAGAGTTTGAAGAAAATAAAAATAGTTGGAAGAAACTGGAAGGAGCTGGAAGAAACTGATAGGAACTGAAAAAAATCAGAAGAAACTCGACAGAACTGGAAAAACCTAGAATGAATTGGAAGAACTAGAAGAAACTGGAAAAAAATGGAATGAACTAGAAAGAATGGGAAGGAATTGAAAGATACTGAAAGTTAAGGGTTCAAGCCTAAAGAACAAGGTGATGTGCGATGTATAAGACAGATTTTTAGTACGTATTGACACCAAATTATTTGTCTTAACGGAAAAAGATTTTAAGATTTAAGTAATTGAACTTTGAAAATACAAATCTATTATTTGAAAATAAAGATATGTGAACTTTGACAAATGAAAAGTAACAAAAAAAATGCGACCCTTCACAAAAATATTCTAAATATATAGATCTATTACAAGGACTCTTAGATCTATCTTTATAAATTCCATGTCTATTTATTTAAAGAACACGATAAGAAAAATTACCCTCTAAAATTATACCGTAATTATATACATACATTAGGGTATATATGTTAGGGGTGAACCGAGGGTCTTATCAAGTTGTTATTTTTGGAGATGAAGTTTTGGAATAATGAAAGGGAAATGGGCTGGATGAAAATATGAGAATGTGAAGAAGTTCTTTTGAGGTTTTGATCAATGAAGAAAAGATAAGATTAAGAAGAGAAATGGAGAGATATGAAATGGAAGAAATCATGGATGGATAAAACCAAGTTGGTGTTAAGAGATATTACACACTCTTATCTTAACTTGAGGTTTGAATCTAGAATTCAATTAAGATATTACACACTTAATCAAATATCTAGAACCTAAAAACTCACACTTAAGATAACCACTCTTAAGATATAGAATTAGAAATTGGACTAAAATAGCATCACACTATTTTAAGAATACTCAAAGGGTAAACAAAGTTTTTATACTCCCTCCGTCCGGAAATAATCTTCCCGTTTCTCCTTTTTTATCGTCCGGAAAAAATCTTCCCATTTCTAATTTTAACCCTTATTCTTCCAAAACTACCCTTTTCATTAAATAACCTTTCTTTCTTTTTTTCCCTTTTCTTCCTATTCTTCTCTTCTTTGTTTTTCTTTCCTCCTCCACTTCTCTATCTTTTTTCTCTGCCTCATCTCTCCATCTCCTCGTCACTTTAATTTCTTCCATTCATTTTTCGTCTACCTTATCTCTTCCTCCACCTTTCTCAGACTTTCTCTTCTCCTCTCTCTCTCCCCCTTGATTCTTCCTTCTCTTTCTTCGATTCTTCTCTGCCTTCGATTCTCCTCTCTCCCCCTCCATCTTTTTCCCTCCTCCTTTCCTCTCCGTCTTTCTTCCAACTCTGGGCTATGACGGCAATGGTGGCGGTGATTGTGGCGGCTAACGTGATGGTGAGTGTAGATCTATACTACTACTCATTATTTTTTATAGATCTACACCACCACCCCTTTCTCTTTGTATTTATTTTAGATCTGTTCCATAATAGCTGTGATGGTGGTACATGTGACAGTGTTGGGGCTGACCATGATGGTGGGGATGCCAACGGTGGTGTGGCTGGCGGCGATAAAAAGATTGATGGTGGTGGAAAGGGCTGGGCTAACGGTGGTGCTGGGGGCTAGGGAAGATGTCGGAGCACCGGCGGTGAAGGGGTAGTGCTAGGGCTAAAGTTGGCGGTGGGAGCTGGCGAATGTCAGAACCAGGGACGACCAGCTTCCTCATTCCTTCACTAGCCTTTTTAAGGGCATTTTAGTCATTTCAACTCATAAGTCAACCATTCAAAAATGATAAAAAGTCCAAATGGGAATGTTTTGTCTGGAAGGAGAGAGTATTAAAAGTTGTATGTTACAATGGCCATATGGCCGAAATTTATAAGAGGAAAGGGGGTGGGGGACAAACATATACAATGAATGCAAATACAAGGAAACTACCAAACAACTTCCTCTCTCAAATCTTGAAAATAATGACCATGTGTTTGTGTCCACTTGGTGGATAAAATCAGAGATAGGGGTGTGGTTTGTGGGGCAGTAATGACCATATGTTTGTGTCCTCTTGGTTGGATAAAATCAGAGATTGGGGTGTGGTTTGTGGGGCTGTAATGACCATGTGTTTGTGTCCTCTTGATGGGATAAAATCAGAGATGTGGGTGTGGTTTTATGGGGCTGTAGTGAGCATGTGTTTTATCCTTAATGGGCTGTCCTCATTGACCAAGGTTAAAGACTCTTAAGGCTTTCATTTTGGCTCCATTTGGGGTGGTAATTTCGTGGATGGTGAAGGGGAAACATGAGGAAAGAGGGTTGTTTGGCCAGATGTAAAATCAAGGCAAAAAGGGGGATGTATTTGGCCATGGGACAAAGGGGGGGTGTATCTGGTCACATTTGAATGATGCTTTGCTTGATTTGGGAGGGTGAATTCGGCCTAGGAACAAGAAAATGTGAGGGGATGATGCCTTGATGATATTACACAACAAAACAAAAGACATATCTAATCAATGTCTCCTGATTTGATTTTAATGGGTAGGTTGTGTCTTGCTTGGTAATGGGATGATTGTGGCTGGATTTTTGGGACAAAATTGGATGGGATTTCATGGTTATGAAGTGGGGAAGAGTGGGGGAAGGCTTTATTCAATGAAGGGAATAAAAGGAAAGAAAACAACACACAAAATGTTTTTGTTTTGTCTTTTTGGTCCTATTTTTGTCCAAGGCTGTAAAATGAAGGAAAAGACTTTATTTTAGATATGAAATGGATATAAAATACTTTTGGATATTTTGAGATGGTTTTGGACTGAAATGGGAGTGACTAATGGAACCCTCGGGTCAAACAGATGTTGTTTTGGCCTTTCGAGTTTTAGGACCTTTGAATTCATCAACTAAAATGTATCATAATGTTTGAATATAAGTCCTTTGGTTTCCATGAGGGTGTGGGACGTGGGAGAGGGTATGATAGGGCAGGGCTCGAGTATATCAATATAGAACACGTAATAAAATGTTAATAACAATAAATGTTACTTAAAAATTGTATTCGAGGTAAGTACATATTCTAATGGGTGTTCTTAGATTTTCAAAGATAAAGTGAAGATCTATGCATCTGCACAATATAGGAAAAAATAATACGGAGTATAAATCTCTGAAAAAATTCTGAAAAACGAACATATACATTAAAAGACACATAATCATGAATAAACAATTATCGATCTCAAGATTACATCGCAGACTTCACTTTCTTTCTAAGAGAATCCGCCGGGTCGAGAACATATTAACATAGAAAAACCCGAAAAATGATTGAGAAACGCATCCTTAAAACAATGAAAAAAATCAGAAATCAAATAACTTACATCAAATGATAATTTTAATGTAAGAAATCGAATAATAAATAGATGAATCATGGAAGAAGAGAGCATCGTAATAGAGAAAGAGAGAGTACGAGCGGCGGATGAAAGAGGGCTCATAAATACTCTCGGTCCCAAATTATTTGTCACATTTCTATTACCGAGACAAAATATCAAGTTTTTTCAATTCATTTTATTTACGTATTGGTAAAGAAATAAAAAATAAAAATTACATATCAAAAAACTACATGAAAAGTTCTTCGAAATAAGAGGTGTCAAGAATATTTTATTTTATTAAATAACCCAATGAAAACGTAGAAATAAACAAAAGTTCCTGCGACTGTTGAAAAAACAAATGTGACAAATAATTTGGGACGGAGGGAGTATATGAAATGGGACTGGTTGATATCTTGGGCCTTTTTTTGTAGACCTCTTATTTTGTTTTAATTTTTTTTAAGTTGGTAGAAGTTAATATTAAATTTTTTATTTTTTAAATTTAAATATAAATTCTAAAAAACAAGAGTTATCAAATAAACAATGGAAGTTAGTAAAGAAAACTATAAAATCTTGACCGTGTAAATATATACATATAACTTAAATTATGACGGATAAATTAATATAACTTAAAAGTTATAATTAAAAATTATACGACATGCATTGTTTAACATTTACTCCGTATAATTTTACATATTTCAATACAAAAAATGAGCGTGGTGTTCATCATAAACAATCCCCAAGTGTCATGATCTCAACTTTGACACGTCAATCTGTTAACAAATGTAGCAAAAATAATGATGGTACTTTTTAAATTTTTCCTATTTTGTAACATGCATTATGCTATATATAATGTTCTACTTGGGGGTGATGTCATATGTTTCATGTATATGTGATATCAAATTTTAGTATACATTGAACAATTAATTTATGCAGTATTAGTAACTATGGATTGTTTTTATGTTTCATATCGTTTATGGCCAATAAAAATTCTCACCATAGAAACTAGTAGTAAGAATAAGGGTAAACTTCGTTTTAGAAGGGAAAGAGTAATTTAATGTCTATATTATTGAACTGGTCAGTTGTTGATTAAGAGCCTGTTTGGGAATAGCGTTAGCGATTAGCATTAGCATTTTAAAAAGGCTATCTACGAGCAGCATTTAGCGTTAGCATTTGTTAAAATTTTATCCAAAACGCTAATTCTAATCTCTAATGCTATTTTCAAACATGCTATAAACATCGGTTCAAGTGGCGACTTTGTAAAGCACGGTCAAATTTCTGATTTATTATTTGTGAACACCATCGTGAAATTTTATATTTGTCGTTGATCTAGCATTTCTTGATGATCAAATGATTATTTGAAAACTATGATTGAATTTCCCAGGACCAAGCACTTTGAATAAAAGAGTTACCCCAGCCACCCTTAACCCCGCCCCCCACCCCCCCAGGGGCAACAACGAAAGGCGTAAAAACAAAAGTTTGACAGTTGCGTTATGACCATTGCTAACAAACAATTGACAACACTTGAAGCTCGCTCGCTGTTTAATTATAAACCTGCTGCTACAGTTCCACTGGAGAGGAGTCCTTCAGTTTTAATTAACCACAGGTGCGGCGGCCGGCCAACTAACTAAGATCCAACAGGGGCTATTCCTTTACTTTTGGCTGCAGCAGCAGCGGCTGCAGCAGCCGCAGCAGCAGATGCTGCAGGACTAGGAGTTGAAGGAGGCACTGGATTCGATTTTGAAGTGGCACTCTGCACGGGAAACAACTGTTGCGGTTGATGGGTGGTTTGTTGAGAACCACTAACCTGTGAGAGTAGAGCCTTAATCTGGCCACCAGTTAGTGTCTCTTGCTCCAGTAACGCACCAGCAAGAGCGTGAAGTTCTTTGTTGTGTGTAGTGAGGATGGTCTTGGCATTGTTATAGGCATTCTCCAAGAACTCTTTCACTTCCTTCTCGATGAGAAGCCTAGTCTCCGTGCTCATGCTCTTCCCTTTATCATCATAGTCGTGTGCAACGACTCCCACCTGTTTGCTCATGCCATACTTTGTGACCATTTCTCTAGCAAGGTAAGTGGCCTTCTGGAGATCACTGGATGCACCCGAAGTCACTTCATTCTCTCCAAAGATGAGCTCTTCTGCAACTCGCCCACCCATACAAACATCAAGCCGGGCAAGCATCTGCTTACGGGACACACTGGTTTCGTCTTTTTCAGGTAATTGAGAAACCATGCCGAGAGCCATTCCTCGGGGGACAATGGTGGCTTTGTGAACGGGAAGGGCACCATCAGTGTGAATGGCCACAAGAGCATGTCCACCCTCATGGTAAGCTGTGAGTCTTCTAGACTCTTCAGATATAACTGCAGACTTGCGCTCACTTCCCATCATGATCTTGTCCTTAGCGTGCTCCATATCACCCATCGTTACTGCTTTTGACCCATCCATTGCAGCCTTGAGAGCAGCAATGTTTACCAAATTTGCAAGGTCAGCACCAGAAAACCCAGGAGTTCCTCTTGCTATTATCATAAGATCAACATCATCCGCCTTCAATACCTGACAATTACAGAGCAATTGCAATAAATGTTTATCCGAATAAGATTGGAAGAAGGCATTACATCAACGCTATTAAAAATATTATTAATAATAAATCCAGACAAAAATACAAAATACTACATTAGTTGGTCGGAGTGGGAGCTGAAATGAGAACTTATAGAGAAACACATTCCAAATACGTAAAGAGATACTCCCTTCGTCCCAAAAGGATCTTTATGCTTACTATTCACATGGTCAAACTATATCCTCCTTTACCAATTTTCATTGATCACTTGACAAAATAACACAATCATATCAATTCTTGTTCTATAAATCTTTTGTTGTAGTTTTTAAATATATAAATTTTATGTTTTCCACTTTTCCTGAGAAAGAAAACTTTCATTAATGCATCAACAGAGGTAAAACAAATCAGGAGTAGAAATCCACATATTACGTTGGGCCTCAGCTCGCCTAACAGGAGTACGAGCAATCACACTCACATCAAAACGAAAAATGGAAATAGAACCAAAACAAAAGCTGGCCAACAAGGCTTTACTTTCAGCAATCAAAGAACCAAAATACGATGAAAGAAGAGAATAATTCTAACGGCCTTAACAACCGGCTTGCAACCAACAAAGATTTCCACATGTTGCAGTCTCAATGCCTTCACCCAAGATAATGCCTCATGCCACGCCATTGCCTTCCCCATCAAAGGCGGTGAGCACTGCATGGCACCATTAGATGAAAAGATTTTTTTGGAGAAACACAGCACAGCCAAAAGCACCACCGCCAGTGAAAGGAAAGAGTGTCGGGTCTATGAAGCAGCACAAAGACCGCATCAACACCATCATTCTTCCTGGTCAGAAGCTGAACCCAATTGTAATGAAGCCCTCTCCAGCAAATCCTTGCATAGAGAAACAACCGACCTAGCCGTGGTCTGGGGTAAAAGAGCTTGACTCTCCCACACAGCCTTGTTTCGAGCCTTCCAGATTGCCCATACCGTGGCTTCCATCTGACAAAGCTCAAAAAGAGTGGAGCTTACGAAAACCTGCTGCAACCATGCCGAGAACGAGCTGCGAACTGCTGCAACCCAACCCCAACAAGCTCCACCCCGTCTTTGAGAACGAGCATTGAGAAAAGACATGATCAACCATTTTATCAGGATCACCACAAATTGGAAGAGGATTATCCAAAGCCATTCCTTTAGAATTGAAGGCGGAAATAGTTGGTAAAAGACCACGCAAAGCACACCAAAGACGTACCTTGATTTTAGGAGCAATTGGAATACACCAAAGCTGTCCTGACCTTGAAAAGCCCGGCACCACTTTGCCTCCCCAAGAAATTGCTGGTAGCAATCTTTAATTGAATACGCACCATGCAATTGGCCCTCCAAGTATTAAGCATCAAGAGAATCTCCATTCGATGGTATTGTATAAATCGGCAGGACATTGCAGGGGAGGAAAAACTCACACAGAAACTACGTATTCTAGCCTCATGTATTAGGCTAGAAAAAGTACGGAACTGAAAATTTTGGCATAAAAGGGGGTTCCGTAAAAATGAACAGGTGTTGAGCATCCCACAACCATTGCGAACCCCAAACAAAAGGTTCTCGACCATTCCCAACCTGTCGTGTCGTTGGACCCCTTCCAACAAACAGCTTTTGCGCTTCCAAAATACTTCTTCAGCAATAACTCGGTGTATTCCCCAAACACGCTTTGAGGAACATCTTAGGGGAGTACCACACCTTAGACACCCAAGAAACGAGTGTATCAGGGCGTGTACGAAATCTCCAGCCTTGGTTTTGGTTTTGAGGGTTAATAAGAGGGGTTGTGATAAAAAAAGGCCAAGCATGGAACTGAAGAAAGAAGACAATGCATTTATGCTAAAGTGGTTTAGGGAATGATATACAGTGATTTTTATAAATAGAGAATGTGGCTAGATTGTGAAGAACAAAAGACTGTAAAGGTGTTAGAGAATAGGAGGTATAAATATGGTATAGAGCAGGATGAAGATGATGATTGAATAGAGGTAGATTGAAAGAAATCCAAGGTTAGAGTTTGACCCTGTCAATAGTGAGCAGTCAACTTAAATTGGGATGGAGGGAGTAAATGGAAAGAAGAGTTGCCTCATTTTCACCTTGAAGACACAAGTACAAGATCCCACAAGAAAATGCTACAAAGAACATAGTTCATAAAGATGACCAAAATTCAAATGGGCAGAATATCATTCAATTGTGAGATGTATTTTGATTTAGTAGTCTCTGGTTGTCAATCACAAAATTGGGGCATGATTTCTGTGTCCAAATCAGTGTGTTAAGGTGTTCTATAACCTTGTACAAATAATCAAATGTAATGAGAAAAAACAAATTTACAAATGAAAAATTAAATTTTTGAGTTTATCTCTCAATTCTTGATAGAGTGGTTCTTTCAAAACCATTTCCTAGTTTTTTTATTTGTTTGGCAACTTAGAGCATGTATTAAGAGTATACTTTTACATCTCAATAGTGATTACTACATTAAGAGTAAACAAAAGCCCTAAGAAGATATAAGAGTATGTCATATCTCTTAATATCAACTTAGCCTATCCATTCTTTTCCCTTGTCCAAATTTCAAAATTCTTATCTAAAACATAAAAAAATATTCCTTTAATATATTTACGAAGTTATAAGTGATTATGTAACATTCAGCCCAAGCAAGACCTCACATAACATTTGGTCTTAAGGGCAAATCTCATACTTAACATTTATGTATCTTAGTATCTATTGTGCTTTCATGTCAAATCTCTAGATTGATACATAAACACCAACTAGCAGTGGCCACCACTTTACACTTGACATATTTGTATTTTGTTACTCTCTCTGCCCCAATTTAAATTGCCTATTCTGGATTACGATGTTTAACTATATAATTTTCTATGAAATTTATAAGAAAATTGGAGCGGAATTAAAAAACTACATCAAAAGCTCTACGAAACAAAAGGTGACATGAGTACATGACTATAATTTTATCAAATGAGTGATGAAAATAAGAAAAGAAAGTGAATGAAGTTTGACCCTGTGAATAGTAAACAACAACTTAATTTGGGACGGAGTACATAACGATGTTATCAAAAAAATTAAATCCAAAACACAGCGCGTGCACACACATACACCTAGAAAAAGAGTCCTAATGTGGGTCATATAGAGTTGGAAAACATGTCAGGTTTGGGTTCGGAACTTTTGAATTAGGGTTGCTTCACGTTCCCATCATTTTGTGTTCCAGTTGGGAAACACTCGTTCATGAACCCATGTGTATGCACTTGGGTTGACCCAACGGGTTAGGCGCATCTATTTTATAATATGAAGTTCTATAATAGCACTTGAATTTTACATAAAAATTGTAATAAATTATTAAAATATACTCCCTCTCATGTTTTCCTTTTTGAGACGTCCCAAAGAAAGACTTTTGTTTCCATTTTTGAAAATTTTTGAGTGGCACACCATCTTTTTCTTTCCTCTACATCACTTTCAAATTTCAAGCACACAATTTCACTTTTCTTCAACTTCGTGCCAAACCCAATCAAGAGGCTTTTTTGGGACAGAGGGAGCATTAATCAATGTTACGGAATATTATATATATTTTTGCATTTTCAGATTTATAGGTAATATATACTACGTATTTAATAGAATAGACTCTTAAATACATATAAACGTAAAATAACAAAACAAATTAAAGGGCCACTCAAAAAGAAAAACACATACGTGAAAACCTAGTAAAAAATACTCTGTATGATCATATATGGTTTTTATCATTTTTACTTCATATAAAGGTACATGGTTTGGGGAAAACTTCATCTCAACAAGTTAGTCCAGTAGATTTTTTACATTAGAACAGGTTTTGACCAATTTTAGCAGGTCATTTTGGGTTTGGTAAGGTCCAGATCACAAAATCCTTGTACAAAAACCTAGTACTTTTGGGTCAGGTCTCAGGTAAAGAACATGTCAGGTTTTCTCGGGTCTAGTCATATTGCAGGGTATAAAAAGAAGCAAAAAAGAAAGGAAAAAAATCATGATGCCATGGATACATGATCCCATTTTTTAGTCATGTCATGCAATTTAGAAAAGGAATACCTTTGACATGTGGGACTCCAAGATCTGCCTTCGCCCCTCAACATCAGGATTTGGGACAACGATGTGGCGATCAAACCGTCCAGGTCTTACTAGTGCCTTATCCAATGACTCGGGGAAATTAGTAGCAGCAATCACAATGATTCCATCATTTTGTTTGAATCCATCTAGTTCAACTAGCAACTGATTTAAAGTCATTTTCATGTACTGCTGATCCTTTGGATTACGGCTTCCACCAATGGCATCAATCTCATCAATAAATATAATACATGGAGACCTTTTTTTAGCAGCTGAGAAAAGATCCCTTACTCTCCGAGCTCCAACGCCAACAAACATTTCTTCAAACTCACTGCCGCTGCATGAGAAGAATGGAACGCCAGCCTCTCCAGCTATAGCCCTGGCCAACATAGTCTTGCCAGTACCAGGTGGACCTACAAGTAAAACACCCTTTGGAAGCTTTCCACCAAGACGTGTGAACCTCTGCAACAATGAAATAACAATGTTCAGAACCTTCTTTTTTTCATTATTTATAACAAACAATTCTGAATGATTCTCTCAACTACAACTACATCCGACACATTGCAACCATTAACCTACTCGCTGATGATCATACAAGGATGTACAACCCTGGTATGACTATTACAGAACGGGAAAAAATTGAAAAAATTAAAAATAAAAATAACTCTAAAATGTACTACAGAGTATTATATACAAGATTGTTTCCTCTACTTCCGCCTTCTTTCTCCAAACAAATATTGACCACATGAAAGTAAGGTATAATAATTGTATAATGATAGGGTTCGGAAGCAAAGAAAATGTAAAGATACATGTTAAATATAGTGTCTCTAGATATGTCATCATTCAATAGATAATAAACCTTGGGGTCTCGAAGATAATGGACAATTTCTTCCAGTTCAGCTTTTGCTTCATCAACGCCCTTTACATCACAAAATTTTGTATTGGATTCCATAGTAGGATGCACTTCTTCATTCAGACCAAGTCCTGTTGCATTAAACAACTTTAAGAGAGATTCAATTTACCTCTTAGGACTTCGGGAAAAAGTGTCATATAGTGAGCAAAAATCTGCGTACCAGATATACCTTTACTGATACCTCTGTCTTCAATCAGAGCCCCAAGACCAGAAATCATGAGGAAAGTCAAACCAAGAGCACGGAATGTACGCCATAACTGTTCCTTGAAATGACTACCTTCAACAGCCACCATATGTATAGGAGCAGTCGGAGTACCAAGAACACCATCTTTTGTATTTTTTCCTGCGTTCCTAAAAGCAGACAGAGCTCCCAAACTACTTAACCCTTCTTCCTCCGCCACACTAGAACTAGAAGTCGAGGAAATCCCTGAGAGTGAGAGAACTCATGTTAGTGTGACCTTCAAAAAAAGAGAAACTACAAATTTCTAAATGGACAGAGATATGCAAGTAGTGAATGCTACATTCTCAAACAACTCTCGAACACTAAAACCTTAGTTAATAGATCATAGTTAAATGATCCTCTCCATTTTGGATTTTCATTGTGGTACTAACCTCTCTTCAGTGTCCTTAAAAGCTCACTTTCATCCAACATATCGGCCTTGACTAGTGCCTTAACATACTCGGCAAGTGCTTTGGGATTGGAGTGTAATGATGGCTGACTTTCAAACAATTGTATGGCTGCCTCAGGATCATGTCGATTATATAGCTCCTTAAGATATGCAGCTTCACTTGCTTCATCTGTTTCACGTACCCTTCTGGCTAGACTGCCCACATAACTTGACTGAAACCTTCTCTGAGCATCACCACATCCAGACACCACTGCATAGAAAAGGACAAGTACACGATAAGTATTGTACCAGATGTCAAACAATTATTTTGTATCAACGGAGAACAAAAACAAGTATTTGTGTAGCAATTATGACATCACAATGCTAACATTCAGAATCATTTTAACTAATATCCATGCAGTAGTGAGATTTAGAAATTGTGATGTTTTTTTCCATAGGCAAAAAACAACCATATCTATGTGTACAACTAGCCCAATAATGTCAGCCACCTTTGAACACCTCCAAGGGCGTTTTGAATTCTTTTCTTTTAACCGAGCTGAGAATGAATTGTGATGTTACCAGTGAAAAGTGATAAACAATGACTAGTTAATATCTTGTCAAAGATCACAAAAGCATCACACAGCTTCAACAAATATTGATTGTCATGAGAGACTAAAGAGAAAATGCATTCATGGATTGTGTAACTTCCTTTTTCAAAAATATATTGTCCCTCCATAGACAAATAGTATTCCTCCGTCCCTTAATTATCTTCTCATTTAATATTCACTCTATATTCTCTTTATTTACATATTTTCATTGTTCATTTGATAAAATAATATGGTCATGTCACCACCTCTTGTTTTGTAAAACTTTTGAAATAGTTTTGAACATGTAATTTTATTTATTAATTTTACACCAACATATTTAAATAAAGTGAACTGACAATAACTCCAGCCAAACCTCGTAATCGAAACGGGAAGATTATTTAGGGGCGGAGGGAGTGGAACAACAATAAAGATAAATGAACAAAAAACATTTTTTGGACAGTAGGACTCTAAACATGTACTTCCCTCATAAATGGCAAATTTTTTTGAACAAAACACGCTAGCCCAAAGAGAAGTGTCCATTAAAGAGGACCAACTCCACCCTAGTAGATTCCACAAGGTAAACCTAGTGCCACATTACCTCGATCTCCCGACAATTTTGATGTCTTATAAGTTCTAGTGAGCAAATAGCCGAGTTGTCTCAGTTGATATTGTTTCCTTTCAACCTGAACCAATAAAAACAATCTGTAATCTAGCTATAGAGAAGGAGAAAGCTTGCAGGAACAATTTTATCCATCAATATCCAATGGAATAAGAATTACCCAAGCTATGCATCAGATAACCAAAACAGGCTATAAAACACTAAAATGCCCAAACCTAGAAACGACTAGTCTTATAGCTGAAACAACTAGTGATTTTCCAGATAGTGCAGTCCACATAATAAAAAATAATAAAACTCATACCAACTAAAGCTTCAACTTTTGATACGAAATCTAAGTCTTCTAAAACCAAAGGCCTATTAGCCTATATGCCACTGAAATTAGGGTTTCCATGACCATGTACAGTACGAAATGACAAATCAAGAATAATAATTATCATCAACAACAGTAAACAAACTGAAGTATGCAATTCTGATTATCAAATCCATGGAATTGAAGCTGACCTGTGTGAGAAGTTGCCTTAAAGCCATCTCTTTTTGTCAGGAGAGACCGGTAATCCCCTTGACTCAAAACACCTCTTTTCTATATCCTCCTTGACGATACGTCAGTATAAAATAGGTATATCTAGGGAGATTTGGTACGCGTTGTCAATGATCGTTAACAGAGTGGAACCAAATGGAAGCAGAACGGAGAGATACAGCGACGACTCTTGGCTGGGGATAAGATGATATTCCGGTACTAGATTATTGTGAAATTTGCAGCAGAGTACTTGGGTTTCATGAAAGTTAGATCTTGTTCTCAACCACTTATTTTTATTTTATTATTTATTTTTTTTAAGATTAAATCTAGGCATGTTAGAAATAATTTTAAATATAATTATTATTATATTGAATCATATTAGATAAAAAATTATTTTAATCAGATTAAATATAAATAAAAGAAACAAGTCCTTCTTCATTATTACTTAATCTCAAAACAATGCTTGAATTACAGACAAGTCACAAGCTTTACAAATTCGTCATTTGTAAATTAAATCACTTTATTTGTAAATATAGCATTTTTCTATCCTCATTAGAATTAAATTAGATGTATCCCTAGCATTTTTGTTATCCACATTAGAATTAAATTAGATATAAACAACTTCTAGTAGAACTACAATCACACCAGATCTTAACAAAACCAATTCAGATTAGACGAAGATAACAAACTCTTACACCGGTCCCCATTTAGATTACAAATTAGAAATTATGAAACAAAATTCCACGCCACTTGAAATGGTTTTAGTTAGAAATTTTTATATAATCAAACATAAAAATCATATATTAAAATATAAATTCACCACAAATCTCAATCACTCTTCTCATCACTCTCACCATTTCACATTTCTTGGAATAGGTACAATCGCGGAAGAAGAGACCTCGGTGAAGTTAGAGGAAGCTCACACCGAAGCAATGCCAAAGTTTACCATTCATTCTTGGAGCCTCGTTTCGAGTTTGATCATAAGAGTGAGTCAGGAGCGGAGGAGAGGGGGGCTGCTTGGGCAAGTGCCCCCCTGACAAATTTTTGGCGAAGTAGTATTAGGATACCTCTTCTCCGATGGTAGGCTTGATGTGCCCCCCCAAATTTTCTGGCAAGTCGCGGGGTGCTGTGGGCTGTGGCGGCAGTGCGCAGGGAAGAAGAAGAAGGACTGCAATTTCTGAAAACAAAACGGGATTATACAACGTCGTGGAGTAGGTGTATGTTTTTTTTCTAATAATTGAGAGTTTGACCCACCCACTACTCTCTGACCCATTCCCTATTCTTTTCTAAAGGCTGGACCCACTCCTTTTTTTCATATCTACTTTATCAAAAAAAAAACAAACCCAGTAACCCTTACCCACTACTCTTTGGCTCTCTCATTCTCTGTGCGGTAGAGTTCTTCTTCTTCCAATCTTCATCTTCGGTTTTTCTTCTTCAGTTTTCCATTACTTCTTCAATTCTTCTTCTTCTTCACATATAAGGAGCTCTCATAATTCCAGGTATATTCAATTTCCAATTATTCAATTTAGAGATTTGTTTGTTAATTTTTAAATTTATGAATATTGTTAATTTATTTTTTGAATACTTTAATTTGTTCCCTTGTTCTAATTTTTAGGCAAATTCCTAATTTTTTTATTGATATTTAAATACTTGTTAAATGGTAATGTATATTCATTTTGTCATTTTATTATTTAATTAGGTAATCTTGAGACCTGAGATGGATAAATTTGTTATTAGAGAAAAGAAAAATTTGGCATTTGTAAATGATAAAGGCAAGGAAAAAGAAGTATCTTCTTCTCTAGAGAAAGAAAGCGTCCAGATCTGGACGCTTGGACTTGGACGCCTTGGATTCGTTCCTATAAATACAGCACGATTCTTCTCATTTTTACAATCCATTCACAGCCCCTCTCGGGTTTACTCCTCTCATTTGCTCAACAATTCTTGTATATTAGTTTAGGTAGTAATTTTGAGGTATTTTCGGAGGTTTTGACTCCAGATCTGTTCTGTTCCGCTTAAACGGAGGTTGTAAGTTTTCTTTATTTAATAAAATGCTATTTTAATTTAAGTTTGCATAGTATGAGTTAGGGTCCAGATCTCTGGGTCCGGACTAGTTTGGTTGAAATAAAAAACTACAATTTAATTACAACCTTACCAATTAGATAACAAGAACGGAATAAATCAATTAATTTGAGCTTCCTAAATTAATCGATAAATAACTCTTTTATAACATACGGTTTTCCGATACTATAAGTTCACGTTGCCTAATTCATGTTTAGATCTTTACCTACTCTAGTAATAGAAATATTATTATTCCAATTTTTAATATAATATGATAAAATAGATCCAGATGATGTCTTGACCCTAGGTCCAGATCTATACTTATACTATGTAAACTTGATTTATTATTTTTACTCTGCTCCCCTTTTTTATAATCGTTCCGAGAAGACTTTCATAAACCAGTCCTAATCTTCGCCTAATTAGAGTAATTAAACTAATTCCCTTCGTCCACTCCTCGAGAGATACGACACTCGGAGAGAAAACTAACCCTTTACTAGGAAGGTTTACTACCCGAAAAACTACAATTGTCAATGGCTTAAGGATACGACTGTCTATGAACCTAATCGAGTTACCATACAAGGAGTTTGATATTATCCTTGGTATGGGCTGGCTGACTGAACACCAAGGAATAATCGACTATGGACTGTGTACTATACAGTTGAAGACCAATGATGGCAATGTCGTGGAGGTTAAAAGGGAGCTGTTACCTAAGCCACCGGAGTTCTGACTATTTATGCAAGCTAAAATACTCGTCTGAAAGAAGTGCAAGGACTTCTTGTTCCATCATCGCGACACTATAAAGGAAGCCCCAGAGCAGAAAGATATTCCTACCGTGTGTGATTTCCCCAATGTATTTACTGATGACCTTCTTGGCTTGCCATCGCCGAGGGAGGTGGAGTTCTCAATTGCTTTGGTTCCGGGGACGAAGCCAATCTCAGCGAGACCTTACTGCATAGCACCTGCGGAGATGAATGAGCTAAAGGCACAACTTCAAGAAATGTTGGACAAGGGATTCATCAGGCCGAGTGTGTCCCATTGGGGAGCACTAGTCCTCTTTGTCAAGAAGAAAGATGGATCTATGAAACTCTACATCGATTATTGACTGTTGAATAAAGCCAAAATCAAGAACCACTATCCTTTACCGCAAATTGATGACTTGTTTGACCAGCTCAGAGGAGCTACAATTTTCTCCAAGATAGACCTTCGGTCAGGTTACCATCAGATTCTAGTGAAGAAAGAGGATATACTAAAGATGACTTTCTGTTCATGTTATGGGCACTACGAATTCACATTAATATTGTTTCGACTGACAAACGCCCCGACAATATTCATAGACTTGATGAACCACATGTTTTCCCATACTTGGATCAGTTCATGGGATTTTTCATGGTCGACATCTTGGTGTACTCCAAGACACCAGAAGAACATACTATACATCTGCAGACTGTACTTGGTGTACTAAGAGAGCACAAGCTCTATGCCAAATTTTCCAAGTGTGAATTTTGGCTCAATGAAGTCACATTCTTAGGACATATGATTTTGAGCGAAGGTATAAAGGTAGACCCAAGTAAGATCTCAACTATAGCGAAGTGGAAGACTCTGAGGAATGCACGAGAGGTGAGGATTATTGTGCATATTGAAATGCTATAGACTAAGATAAGAATTCACATCTTGTAGATGGAACCTACTTACTATAAGGTGAATGTTAGCATAAACTCTGACAACGAGAAGCTAGGTAAAAAAGGAGTATAATAAGGTACACATAGTAAAATATCTTGTCCAATATTCGGTTATCTCATTGATCACTAGAATTATAGGATCGATTTTTGGAACTTTCTAGTGGGTCACCCATCATTGGACTATTCCTGTTCTAGCACGTTTAACTACAGAGTTCTAAAGTTAAAGAGGTATCAAATGCTTCCTAAAACCAATTGGTGATAGGAAGGTGGACACATACTATTTAAGCACATATCTATGTAGCCCTAAGTCGAGATATATTCCTATAGGGCACCTCCTACAGTTCACTATGACAATGCGGAGCCCCATTACTGATAGGTGGATGGACAAGAGGGGCTTCGCAAGATACAAGACTCATGTACCTCGTCAAGTTGGGCTGTCTATACCCGATACCGCGACAAGAACAGTAGCAAATCTCTAAGGGTGTTCGATGGCCCCCATAAGACCAACATGAATGATAACAAGGTTTGGAAGTGGCTGGAGACTTGGACAAATGAGGGTATCTTATTTTGGTATCAAACAGGAATGACCATATAAAGGACTGGAAAAACTTTTTGATTAGTAAAAAAAGAAATACTTACCACCAGCACATCGTTGTGTAGTGTTGTGGCTGGATACAAACCAAAACAACTTAGTGAATGACCTATCTAGAAAGACGTTACGTGTAAACATACCCTACGGATAAGATGAACTAAAAGAAGTGGACTTGAAAGAAGTTACAACATCGACTTGTAGACGTGGGGTTACCCGTTAGCGGACTCACCATTGAAGGGCTCCTGACTCGTTACAAAGTCTAATTAGCAGGTATTAGTGTATTGCCCATAGTGATAGTGGTGGCGTTAGTAGAACGCCCCACTTACTCTCGTTAGTATGACTCAAACAATTGTTTGAGAAATAACTTTAATGAATTAGAAAGAACCAATATAATCTTGACTACGCCATTTGAGAATCTTAGGTCATAGCTCGTAAAGGGCGAACCTAATTTTAGATCGACGAATGCACTTATTTCCAACTACGTTTGTAACACCCTAATCCGTCCAGGTCTGCAGCCCCTTCCAGACTAAAGTATTAACTTGGTAATCGTAAAAATTTAAAACTTTTCGCAAATTTGTTTAATTGAATATTTAATTCAATAAATTTTAGGGTATGTTTTGGGGCGTTACAACGTTACTAAAGCTCAAAAAGATACGAACATGGTGATCGTGAGCGACGTACCTCATGTAAGACACTTGACCCAAAAAGTTGAACTGGCTTCATAATGTGACTTTGACACAAAAGAATGCGAATGACGACGACCACATGACGACGATGAATGCTAACATTACAGTACCAACGAGTACAACGCATGAACCTTTAGACGACAGGTACACAATCTAATTAGAAAATTGAGATCACGTGGGCTGGACAGCGGATTGCACCAAGCAAATTCGAGACACAGATGACACGCAAAAGAACGATTGTTGTTACGACTTCTGACAAAGTACCCTTGACGTGTAAATCAAACTTGTTGATGATGGATCAATCAGGATGAAGCTTGTTCTGCAAGAAACGAATCGAAAAACTGACTACTTAATACACGAAAACATCTTCGATGTTAGGGAACTAATGTATGTGGATCGTAGGATGAAAAGTCGTGAAATAGCTACTTGCTCGAGAAATGCATTGAAGGACGACGAACCGTAGGGAGTACCTCCTAAAGCACCTTGTCGAACATGTGTTGGCTATCGTAAGCGTTAGACCTAGATGTTGTGACAATTGAACAACTAATATTTTTGGGATGTTAGCTTGACCGGTAATCTAAACATGCACGTTGACTACACTGACCGTTCTCCACTTTGACCCATTGATGGTGGTCAAACTTCTACACAAGATCTTATATTGTATCTCCATAAAAAATTACCAAAATCTCTACCCAAAATCAAGCGATGATGTACCTATGATGATACCAATGCCTTGTGTGGCGAGAATTCTGTGTAATAACTTTGACTTTGACCTTTAAGCTCGTACTCTATGAAGCATCTAACTAAAACGTAATGATGAAATTGTTTTGAAGAAAATGTAAATTTGAAATCATTGTGATCCTACTAACTCAGTCTATATGTCCCTGTGACTCCTGGAGAGACATGGTAAAGGCCTCAACGATGAAGATTTTACTCTATTAACAACAATGACAAGTATACGCATGAACAAAAAGATAGTGTTGTATCTCGTTACTTAAAGTATTTGAATCACACCAAACAAATTGCGTAAGGGACTGCTGAACGAGAAGTTGTCACAAAGATCGTTACAAGTAAACTTGTGAAAAATTTTGCTAATCGAATTCCTAAAACAAAAATCCATAAATCCTAAGTACCTTGACATATATATGAAAATCATTGTTGTCTAAAATGTATATATAAATATAAATATTATATATATATATATATATATATATATATATATATATATATATATATATATGGATTGGAGCCAGGGGTATGTCATTCCATTCCCATCTGCGTGTCGTTCTTCCAGGAGTCATAGCATGGATCCTATGGAAATCCCATAACCAATCCTTCTATGAATCTTCCACCCCTTCCCTCCATGATATGGAAAAGATGATACGAAACTTAGTCCAGAAATGGTGCTGGACCCACAGGAATAAGCAATGGATGATGAAGACTAATGACCATACTCAAATGGGCAAGGGCTATTTTTGGCTTAGTGGAAAGAGACTTATAGAAGGACTTGTTTGATTTTGGTCTTTGTTTTCCTGTTTTCTTTTTGCTTTTGGGGAACTCATCTCCAAACGCGTTGTAATTCTCTCCTTTTCTTTACCTTGAATACAAGCACCTTTCCATTAATATATATATATATATATATATATATATATATATATATATATATATATATATATATATATATATATATATTAAATTTTATTAGAAATAAAAGGGAAATACAAAGGTGGGGTTGGCCGAGCCCCTACAAAAAAGCCTGAAGTCCAGAACATAAAATTAAAAAACCAAAAGGCAAAAGGCCAAAGATATAAGATCACTACAAAAGCCACTAGGATAAGGGTCGAAAACTAGACAATTCAAAACAACCAGATTGTTTGGCTGCTTCTTCTTGGATCAACATCAGGAGTATGGTGTAGGAGTCCACTATTACACCATTATGATCCTTAAATGTCCATCGGTACAACATATGTTTCCAAGCCAAGCAAAAAGGACCATCTGTGACATTAAGCATCCTGGCAGCCTGTACTAGTGAACTTGGACCGAAACCAAATCCAATGTTCCAAATACCTCTTTGTTTCAAAGTAGAATAACTTCCTATCACAAAGTATTAAAAAAATATATCCCAACTAGGAGAAATCAGACCACCAAAGATAAGAAGGGTGAAAATCCTCAACTAAGAGAGCAGTCTTTGCCTAAACAGCCTAATCTGCACCTTAAATGAAACATAAGTAACTCTACAAGCTAGACACCAACCATTTGTAAGGCCAAAATAACAGGAACAACAGAAATCACAACTGTCCTTGGTGAGTAAAATCCTTGCACCAATTCTTCCTTCTAGGAAAAGATAATGTACATCCCAAGAAAAGCGTCTAGTTCCCCAAGAGAAATCCAGTGGAAAAAAACAATAGGTTAAGAAGGCCAAGTATACATCCCTTTTATTCGTAGTCGATGAGATGTTCACACAATGGCGTTATGATCGGTACATCAATGTTGGCGCAGGCTAGGAGAACTGGATGTCGCGTACCTTTCAGCTTAATAGCACTTATGCATTGCGCACTCATCATGGCCTCCCTTGTCGCTTTTAAAGCCTTACCCTGAAGAGTTGAAACAAGCCCCTTTTGGATCTTTTCCTTGATGAAGGGCGAACGTAATGCTTCCTTGATCATCCAAAGGGAGTTCTCGAAGTCATCGCTAATATGTTGTTCGAAAATGGGCTTAAGCATCTCATACTGTTTTTGAAAATCCCCTCCTGCATGTTCTTCCACTTTGTCATCTATAAGCATGAGATCTAGTTCCGGTTGTATAGAGTCCTCCCAATTTGAAGCTTCCATCTTCGGAGTTTGGCTAAACAGCCCATCAATTAGCAGTTGCTCTTCGTGGCTGAGTGGCAAGTTTCTAGCTGGCTCTACACTTGGAGAATCTTCATGCTGCAGAGAGATACCAATCTCTTCCTTGTCCACTAGACTGTTAGAACCCCCTGCCAACAAAGGTAGAGGTCCAGCCTTACCTTGCCTTGAGGAGGAGGAAACATCTAAAACACTCACTGCCTTAGGAGAATCCACAAGAAAAGAAGAGTTCCCTAATGAACAAGAACCAATGAAAGCATCAATGGCCTCCAAGAAACACCCCAAACCCCCTTTGTCCGTAGGAACGAAAATGGAAGTGTTCCCTTCTCTTCTTGATTCAAGAATCCTGAGATAACCTCCCCAACTATTAGAAACATGATAAATGGTAATCTTTCGATGCTTTTCAAAACGGGTGATAGCCCATGAATTTCTCTGATTCAGTTTAGGGAAAAGCTCAAGAATCCAATTTAGCCCATGATATCAAACCATATATTGTAATTCCTCTTTCCAATTTCGCTTATACAAATTTTTTTGTTGTAATTAGAGTGAAAGAGAGTAAAAACCTTTGTTTGAATTTGGATTGAAAGAGATATATATATATATATATATATATATATATATATATATATATATATTAAAATGAGTAAGTAACCGTTTACATTCATTGGGGAGAGATTTAAGGTTGATTGGATCTCAAAATGAAAGTTTTAATAATTTGTACAATTATTATGGCACCTGTTCTGGTGGGTAGGTAACGTTCCGATATCTGGGTACCGCCCTAATGGTAGGGGGTATCGTCAGGGGTAGCACCACAGTGAGATATCTTGTAGCATTCGCTACACTAATCGATACCTTTCCCGGTATAGAGATACGGTCTCGTATCTAGGTACTGTTCCAACGATTGGGGGTACCGCCAAGGGAGGAAACTCAGGGTTTTTCAATTTCTCTAAGTCATGGATCAAAACAAAATATGTTTTTCAAGCATCAAAATAGGGTTTTTACAAATAGTTTTAGGTTTCCAAAACCTCTTATCCTTGCCCAACCAAAACCAAAACCATCAGCTATCGGCGCTCAGTTTTCGGCGTTGGTTATTGGCATTGCTTTTAGCCAAATAGATTTTGGGTTTTATCTTTTGTTTTTTATTCTGGACACATTTAAAGGTTTTATAAATGATTAGTTCTCAAAAACCGTAACCTTCGTTTTTCGGCGTTGGTTATCGACATTCGGTGCTAGTTATCGGTGTTGGTTTTTGACGTCCAAATCAACCAAGTGGTTTTTAGGATTTTATAATTGGTTTTTACTTCTAGTCATATCCAAATATTTATCCAACAAAAATGTTAAAAACCATCTTTAGTTTTTGGTCTTTTGGCAAAAACCATGTGAAACAGCATTAAACTTAGCCAGGCGTGGTTTTTACCTTAATAACGTGGTTTTTAAGTTCGTATACTTTGTTTGATTGTTTCTACCTAAAATGCATTATATAAGTGTTTCCAACAATTGGGTTTTAATTTGGAAATTTTGATTTTTAACATCGATTTTCGGTGTTGGCTGCCAAACCATGGTTCTGGCGTCCAGACCAAAAAGCGATGTTGGCTTACCCAACAACGCTATTTTGCAAAATAACGATGTTGGATTTTGATCATCCATGTTTTGGCCAGGTTGGCTCACGTCAGTTTTGGCAGTAGGTTTTTGAACAACTATGTTTATGTGTGAACATTGATGTTTCCAAATGATTGTTGGGGTATTTAAGACAAAATCTTTTTATTTTTGAAAGTCAACAACCCCAACATCGATGTAGCCTTCAAAACATTATGTTCTCATGACCGTTAGCCATTTCCAAAGGAGAGTCAAAGCCAAAATAACGATGTTCACTATATGAACATCGATGTTAGGTTAGATTTCAGTAGATATACTTTTGATTTGATTTCCACAAATCATTCGAATCAACCACAATCTTCTCCCAACCGTTTCACCTTGTTTTTGGGTATAAAAAGGGGTCTCTTGCGTCTACTTTTCACAACCATTCCTCTCACATTTCATAGATTCACATTGCATCATTCTATAAACTTTTTACATAACTTTTTAGAGTCATTTCTTGAGGAATTGAATGTGTTCTGGATCTAAGTTAGTTAGTCATATTCTACTCTTTGAGAGAGTATTTGTTCTTGAGTGTTTAAGTGTTGTAAACACTTTAAGGGAGGTTTGTTCCCTTGGTTGTACAAAGGAAGGGTATATTCCTTCGGGTTGAAGTCTTGGAGTGCGGTATCTCTGAGCAAGTGTGCTGAGGCTCGTGGGACTCGAGTTCTCAAGTTGTAACAGTTTGTTAAGCACCCGTAAGTTTAACCAAAGTAGTGTAGCTCAAGAGAGTCTCTCATGAGATTCGACGTAGCCACACGTTGTGGTAAATCAGTGTATATTGGTGTGTTCTTTCCTTATGCTTTTTAATTCCGCTCTTTACTTTATCCCTGCAATTTTTATTTCGTGAAAATTTATAAACATTCTCATACCTCACTATTCACCTCCCTCTAGTGAAGGGAACTTATTTTAACAAGTCCTGTAACATTTCTAGCTCAAACCTAATTTTTCATTCCTTTTTCAAAATAACCCCAACTAAGAACAATATATAAATCTTTTAATGCATTTTGTGAGTGTAAGGGCAAATTAGAATCATCATAAAAATCAAACCCTTAACATTTTATCTATCTATGCTCGTTGGAATATCTTCTTGATAAGGCGAAGCTAGTTAGGTTAGGTTTGGCGTTTGTTTTTGACCTGCAAAAGCGTTAGTAACTTGAAAGCCTTATTTGGAACAACAAAACCTGTATGAGCGAGGTTTGGTATTCAAGGCCAATCCTCAGCACTTCGTTGTCCGCTTTTACTAAGATGCAGGCGGAGAGGCTTTGGGTTAAACAACTAGCGAGAGCGGAGATGCTTGAGCAAAGACGCGAAGAAAAAGCGGAGCAGCTTGCCTGCAAACACCAACACTTAGAGCAAGAAAACTTCAAAATCATGCCAACCAATGTTCATAATCTTGGTTTGACGTAGGGATGACAATTTTACCCGAATCTGACTTTTACTGACCCGACTAGAGCTTATAATATCTGTTGGGAAAAATATTATCGATTTTGATGATGATGTATTTAGATTGTACTAGGGACTTTAGGCCTCCCCCAATATTCAATGTAATTTTTCTTTTTAGAAATATTGTTAAAACAAAGTTCTTGAGATTTTCAATAAAGTTGTGATATTTCACTCTATGGTTTAATCTTTGAAGACTTAATCAAATACTGTGATATGGATATTGGATATCTTGATCGGAAATGTCAGAGACGAGTAAGGATTTCTCAAAGCAATTGAAGATCCTCTAAATCCGGAAGTCTACATAATAACCGGATGTCTCGCTACAACCCGCTGAAGGCTAAGTCATTCAAATCGGAAGACTAGCGCGAATCTCTTTCTCACCCGGAAGTCTGTGAATGACTCTTCCGGATTTGTTAGCAAAAGAACCGGATGCCTCAAGAAATAATCGGAACTCTCAGAAGCGGACAAGTGAAAAAAGACTTAGAAAAATTCCAAGTCTTGAATGAAGAAATTCTACCCGTTGGTAAGGAAAAATCAATCTCTTGATTTTCAACAGCTAGATTGAAGATAATTAAGCTAATTCAAGAACAAATGACTTGAAGACAAAGTCTGGACCCCTCAAATTAAAGAGCTCGTCCAAAATTCCTAAACAAGCACTAGAAGACAAACTGAGTAAAGAGCTACAGTCCAGAATTCTTGAACAACAGCTAGAAGACGGATTTTGTGAAAAAGGAATCCCTCCTCAAACAATTGGGTATGTCCAAACACCCACTCCAATGAGGAATCCTCAATCACAATCTTCATTCAAAATTGAAGCCAGCAAATGCAACAGATAGTCTATTTTGATTCAACGGATAGATTATCCAATCCAGCTATAAATGGCAACGTTGGAAGACTGGAGAAGATACGATGAGATAGACGAACACAACGAATCAATCTCTAACAACAAAGCTATCTCATTCACAGTTAGCCCAAAAAGCTTGATAAAGAGATATTTTTAAAACTCTTTATCGAGAAGCAAACTTCTCCTCCTTCCAAAGAGCTATAGTGTAAACATTTGAAGGTTTCCTTGCCTCAAGTACCACACCACGTTGAAGGATATACCTTTTGACCAAACTTCTTGATTAAAAGGGGGTAGATCAACTTTCTCACAAGTTGATCTTGCAAGTCCTATTGTTCGGATCTTGCAGTTGTTGAAGAAGCGTGACCTTCGAAGGAACAACAAAGCCATCACGAGTGTAGTAGCAACATTGGCCTTGCGAAGATATATCGTGAAGAAATTCACACAAGTGTAATTGTTGGTTCATTATTCAACAACCAACTACATAGTGGATTTTGAGGACGTAGAAGGATTACCCCACCTTCAAACCTCGTTAAAGTTTGTGTGCCTCTCTCTTTCATCTTTACTCTTACTTGCAAGTATAGTAACTGTGAAAACTAACTCATCCATATTGATTACTGCTCTAATAACCCACCAACTTCCGCACACAATCTAAGGTTCACAAGAACTCTAGATTAACACTCATTTTCAAGTTTTCAAAAGAAACGAAAAAGTTTGTAAGTTATAACAAAGTCTATTCACCACCCCTCTAGACTTTGTATCTCACCACTTTGGGACCACCAATATCCGAATTCGAATCGAGAAATTTAATATCTGAAACCGACCCGAGAAAATTAAAACCGAACCCGACCTTTGTCGGGTCGGTTTCAGGTCATTAAATATGACCGACCCGACATGTGCCCGACTGACCCGACATTAAACCCGACAAAAATATACTCCGTATGTTTTTTTTAAAAACCCTAACCGTAAGTCACTCCCCATTACCCAGCCGTCTTCCACTCATCCACTCGTCCAGCACCCCAGCCTTCTTCAACTCTTCATTCATCGACTCTCTGGCGATTGAAGTTTCCGGTCAATCCGCGACCGCGATTCATCCACTGCTTTACCGGGAGCCGCTCAACCCCTCTTCTTTATCGATCGACCTCCATCACTTCTTGTAGTTCCTCAGGTATTCACTCCTTTCATATCCTCATATAATAAGTGCAAAGAATTATTCTTGATGTATACTCTAGTCGGCAATTGATTTTTAGATAGACAAATCATTAGTTTTAGAAGAATACTTGAATTTGGGAGGAACACTTCAGAGTTCCATTAATCTGGCCGAACATTAGAATTGCCTAATTAGCCTCCTAAATAGTTAGGTTTGTGTAACTTGCTCTGCCTGTAAATCATTGGTGTTGACTGTTGTATAAATAGTTAGGTTCTAGATTTTATTTTTGATTTAGATTTTGAAAATAATTAGTTGATAATTGTGCTTCCAAAAGCTGGTTTTTAGAAGTAGATGACTTATTGGTTTTCAAGAATCAGCTAATTCTTAATATAAATAATCGGGTTTTGATAATAATTAATTCATTTTCTTGTTGGCTTTATATATTAATATAAATATATGTTGCATTTTAGGATGGGTGAAGATGGTGTTAAATCAACACAAGAGTCAACACAAAAGGAACACGATGTACAAAAAGCAAGTGCTCCAGCATCTTCAAAAATACCCCTTGAAGTAGATTCAACCAAAGATGATCAAGGGTCCACAAGATTAAAATCTTTTGTGTGGAAACATTTTTCTAGGGAATTGATAGACAATAAACTAATTGCAATATGTCATGGTTGTGGCAAAAAATATGGTGGATCAGGAAAAAGTTGCACTACACATCTAAACAATCATTTGAATAGTTGCATGAAATCCAAACAAAAAGTAGATGTCAGACAACAACTCATTCAAGCTTCTTTTAAAAAAGATCCTAACATGCCATATGTTCCTGGAAAGTACAAATTCAGCCAAGAAGTGTCTAGAATGGAGTTAGGCAATATGATTGTTTTACATGAGTACCCTCTATCTCTTGTTGATCATATTGGCTTTAAAAGATATTCTGCTAGCTTGAATCCTGAATTTAAAATTATGTCAAGGAATACAATAAAAGCAGATATTTTTAAAGCTTTCAATGATGAGAAGTCTATTTTGAAGAAGCGGATGTCTTCAATTGAAGGGAGAGTTGTCATTACTACTGATATAAGGTTAGCAAAAAACCGAAAGAAAGGTTATATGGCAGTGACAGGCCATTTTATTGATGATGATTGGAAGTTACAACATCACATTTTGAGGTAAATATTATAATCTAATAAACTTTTATACATTTTCCCCTGCTTATTAATGTCAATTTTTTCTTCCTAGGTTTATATATGTGCCAGCTCCACATACCAGCGAGGCGCTCGCAAAAGTATTGATGAATGCTTTAGTCAATCTCAATTTGGATGAGAAGGTATCGACTATAACCCTTGATAATTGCACAACAAATGATGGGATAATTGATTATTTGCTTGGGAAGTCCAATCAATCTAAATTGATTTTAAAAAATGATGGGATAATTGATGATTTGCGTGAAAAGTTCAATCCATCTAAATTAATTTTGAAAGGGACTATTTTGCATATGATATGTTGTGCACATATACTAAATTTGGTTGTTCAAGATGGGTTGAATGTTATTGGTAAGGCAATTGGGAAAGTGCGTGATTTAGTTACCTACTAGGTTGCCACACCTAAGAGATATGAAAAGTTTGAAGGTGCTGTTAGGTATGTTAAGATTCTTGAAACCAAAAGATTGATTCTAGACTCTAAACTAGATGGAATTCTACATATGAGATGCTTGAGATTGCATTGTTGTATAAAGATGCATTTTACAGGTTGAGATAGTGTTTAAAGAAAGAAAAATTTGTTTTACCTGAGGAAAGGGAGTGGGAAAGAGCTCGTGAAGTTTGTGATAAATTGGATATATTTTACAAGGTAACAATTACTTTCTCTTGCCAAAATTATCCCACAGCCAATTTATATTTTCAAAAAGTTTGTCAAATTAGACTCGCGTTAATTAATTGGCAAGCATCAGAGTCTACACTTATAAAAAATATGGCCAATCAAATGAGTGAAAAATTTGACAAATATTGGGGGTAATTAATGGCACTTTAGCTGTGGCATCTTTGTTGGATCCAAGGAAAAAGATGGAACATGTTACCTATTACTTTGAGAAGCTTTATGGAGCACGTGCTAGCACAGAGTGTGAAAGAGTAAAAGCATTGTTGGATTCTTTGGTAGTTGATTATGAGAAGAGAGGATCTTTAGTGAGAAGTGAAGAGCATATTTCATCTTCAAGTGTTAATAATGTGTCAGCAGTTACTTCTGATTTGGATGATATGGAGTGGGAAAGACATGTTTCTACGATGCCAAGGAAAAAACGTTTATGATCGGAAGTTGATGTTTATTTAGATGATGATGTGATGATAGCAGATCTTGAAAAGTTTGATATCCTTGTTTATTGGAGTGTTGTGGCAAAACAATTTCCAATTCTTTCAAAGATTGCTAGAGATATTTTGGCCATCCCTATTACTTCAGTAGCCTCAGAAAGTGCTTTTAGTGCAAGTGGTAGAACCATTAGTCCTAGTCGAAGTCGACTACTTCCCAAAACAGTGGAAGCACTAATGTGTCTTTAGAGTTGGAGGTTATCGCAATTTGAAGGTAACACAAATTATTTATTGTTTACATAATAGTGTTTGTCTACAATGATAATTGTTTTATGCTTGAGTTATCTTATAGGTACATGTAAGGATAATGCTTTGGAATGTTCAAGCATTTTAGTTGATGAAGATGTCCAGGGAAAGATCACAGAAGAGGTATTTTTTTAGTAGATAAAGAGTTAATTCTTATATATTTTCATTTAATATTTCTTTTAACATTAAGAACTTTGTATTTTTAGGATGGAGATGCTGAAAGCGACGAGGATGATATTTGATCATATAGTTGGAAGATTGATTTTCCATTTCGTAGTTGGCACAACATTTTATGAGTTTTGATAAATATTTGTGTAACTTTATTATATTTTTATGTGTTTCTACTGGGGTGAAATCTTGTGTGGCACAAGATGAAAATGTTCCCTAAAATATATTCACATGTTTTGACTATTATTAGGACATTTATTATAAATATATTAACATTATGGTGTCTTAAAATGTGAAACCTTTTTAGGCATTTGAATTGTAATTGAACCATTGCATGTATTTGTTATTTTATTCTTGTTCTTAAAAAATTAGAAAAAAACTGATATCTTTGGACATTTAAACTGGTAATGGTCAGGCGGGTCAGTAAGGCAATCGGGTCGGGCGGGCGGTCGGGTCGGGCAGGTTAGTCGGGTCGGTTGCGGTATCAGGCCTCGATTTGCATAGTCGGGTTCGGGTTCAAGTAGAAACTCTGACCTGACGGTTCGAATTCAGGCAAAAAAAATGAGCGATCTCAGTTTCGGGTAAAGGCATATCCGAACCGAATCCGACCCATTGCCGTCCCTAGTTCGACGGAGCATGCGGTGGTAATGAGGATGAAAGACAAGATATCCGAGAAGTGGCATGGAGGTGCGGCGGGTGATGGCTCAAGCGGGGATGTTTAGATTTTTTACTATTATATTTATTTTTAATATGTACTGTTATTTTTTTACTTCCAAAAAAATGTATTGTTTTACGCATTTTAATTATATTTCTTAGACACATTGTTATTGTATCTTTTTAATTTTAATGAAATATTCGACTATTTTAAGCTTAATAAAATAATAGTTTGAAGTAATTTTTTTGTTTTTGTGTTTTTAGTTTAATCATTTAAATTAAAATAAGTGTTAAAAAATAAAAAAAATTGAAGGAGAAAGGAGAAGATATTTCTAGAGAAGGGAAAATTGAGTGTTATGTAGCGCTGAGTTGGTGAATGAGAAAGGGGAGGGCGTACCCATAGGCCTATAGCCTAATACAGTGGAGTCTTCCTAATTTTCCGCACTTATAAAATAAACTTTAATCTTATTTGATTACAAAATGAGAATTACAAGATAAAATTTCACAGTTTTTTAAATTATTTTATTTACAAATTGGTACATCAATAAGAAAAGAGAAAAATCAAAATAGCACTCTTAAAGCCTTGAAATACTCTAAATAGCAGTGTTATATGTTTCGGCAGTATATATTTATCCTTTAGTTAAACAATAAATATTTATTACACTGTTAAAAAATATGACTATTTTGGGCAGTGTGGTTGTTCACTTGTAACAGTGTGGTGGGCAGTGTGGTTTTTTATATGTGAGTATTTATTGTGGCAGTGTAGAATAGATATATGTTGTTATATCTTACAGTAGTGTGTAAGTGTATTATTGTGCTCCTTAATTGAATGTTGGAGTGTAATGTCTATTAATTAATGTGGTGGTGTTTTCATGTATAAATTCTACACTTTCAAAAAGTGAATTACTATTTTCATGTATGAATTCCACATTGCCCAAAAAATGTATAGCTCCTTTTATGTATGAATTGCATACTATTTTCATATATGAATTTCACACTGCCAAAAATGTGTATGAGTGTTTTCATGTATGAATTTCACACTGCCCAAAAATGTATGACTGATTTTATGAATAATCGATTACACCAAAACACATTGGCCAAACATGGGCGTTAAATATGGAACTTAATTTAACACGTACGAACTTGTTTAGACATTATACATTGGTAAATTGTGTAGGAGGAGGATCTCGCAGAGCTGTGGTAAATGGCGTAGGATGATGTTCTCGCACGTATGAGACGCACGAATGAGGAGCCGCATGTATGAGGAAGAGTGGCTACGTGAGTAACCCAAGTTTAATCAAATACGGAGTAATTAAAAGTAACTAAAAATAGTAGAATATATTAAAAGGTAGAGGATATGCTTGGAAGATATTGACATTGTAAATAGCTAAATTCATATAAAAGATTAAGGAATGCTATATGCGTAATATTGAGTGACTTATAGTGCTACGTTAAAAAACTATATCAAAAGTTACACGTTAAAAAACTATATCAAAAGTTTTATACAATAAGAGGTGACAAGAATATTTTATTTTTTCTAATTAAGCTCCCATGTTTTTTTAACAAAGCTCCTTGTTGATTTCACAGTATTTACGTGTTAAAAAATCCGGAGTAAATAATACTCTGTATGATTAATACTCCGTCCCACTTGAAATTGTCTATTTCGGTTTGTGATGATTGACTGAAATTATTTTCAAATCATTTTATATGAAAGTGGTGTAAAATTTAGAAATAAAAACAACATATTAAAAAACTATATCAAAAGATCTACAAAACTAGTGGTGATATAACTATATCATTTTCTCAAATAACTAATGAAAATAAAAAAAGAAAGTGAATAAAGTTTGACCATGTGAATAGTATCAGACAATTTAGTTTGGAACGGAGGGACCATACCTTTTTGGTATGCTGCAAAAAGGTGATTTTTTTGGTATATTGCAATTCTCTTTTGGTATGTTGCAAATAGAACTGCAAACTTTTATGATTTCATTCTTTGTTTTGAATAATGTTCGGATCACATGATCTTTAAATAGCAAAAATTTTAATTTTTAAATACGCTTCTTAACCCGTTGGGTCAACCCGAACCCGATAACTCTTGGTCATGAACAAGCACTCTTAGACCCGAACCCGAAGTCACCCGAACCCGAAATAACATGAACCCGATTATACCGAACCCGAACCCGACCTGACCGACCGTTTTGCCAGGTCTAGCGACAGTGAACATTTACTTGAACAATATAAAGTGGATATTGAAGAATAGTACTCCCTCCGTTTTTTAAAAGTGTTCCTATTTTGACTTTGTGTAAAAATAAGGAAATGTTAAATTGTAGTTGACTTCCAATTTTGCCCTTGATGTGATGGGTAAAAGTAAGATGTGATAGATTGAGTATTAGAGAAAAAGTATGATGTGATAGGTAGGGTATGAAAAAGTAAGAGTAAAAGTGGTTTTTTAATAGAAAGTGGAAGTGTTTTGTTGAAAGTAAAAAAAATGAAAGAGGAAGAATTTTTGAGAACGGAGGGAGTACTACATTGGGAATTAAAACATTTGGTACTAAATTAAGAAAACTTATTATGTTTTAGTACTTTATACCCTACATATATTCTCTAACATTTAGACTTCACAAAACAAACAAAAAAAATTCTAGTACGAACTAAAAAATAAAAGATGAATGTTTAGCAACAACACTAACAAAAATGTGCCATATGACTACTAGTAGTTAGAGTAGTAAACATGAAATGTATGCGCAGTCCGCCAGTCCATCCCATTGTAGGAAGATAAAATTCGACACCCTTTCATTCGGTCAGATATTCACAAAGAATAGAGTCCGCATCTGCGCGGCGCAGACAAAATACGCCAGAAGGTCTTCTGGCGGAAAAACAAACACCCCCTAAGCAATGTAAACATCTTCCTAACCTGCAAGTGCAACGTATATGCCCGTAACAAAATGCTTTAAACTAAAAGCTTTAAAATAAATAGAATCCCAATACTAAATACAGCAAACGGAGGATATAAGAAAGGATCAATGTAAAAGACCAAAATAATGTTTGATCTGCGAGTGAAATATGTGGTTTTACAGGGTGCAGGGAGCATAACACGGAGTAAAAAAGAGTGAGTTCATGATCTGAGGTTAGACACCCCCGATGTCATCGAGAAGATCTTGCAAATCTCCACCACCCCATTCTGGCGTCTCCGCGACCAAATCCTCAATCTCTGCATTAGCTTCTGATTCATTTCCAATCATCAACACTTGATCAGAAACCCCTCCTTCAGCAAGCAGCATCTCCCCCCAGAAGCTTTCTGAAACAGCATCAGTCGCAGCACCACCACCACCACTAGTAGATGCAAAGGATGATGGCTCCATGGAACTCATGTTTGACTCATTCACCATGAGTGCAGCAGAAAACAAGCTCTCCATGTCCGCCTCCACCTCATCACCTTGCGTTGCAATGGAAGCCATATCCTGCAAGTTCTCCGCACCCGGTGGTGACATTGTCAGCCTCCTCTTTTGACCGATTTCGAGCTGCCTTAGATCTTTCTTCTCAGCATACTTATCAAGACATTGCCGGATAAGAGAAGGGTTCGTGAGTAGTTTGGCTAGGAAACTCATTGCCAGATGCTGCTTCCTCTCAGTGTTCCTTAACCTTTCATCCATTGCCGCAATTTGAGCACTAGAACTCTGCTGTTTCTGTCTTAGTTTAACAATTTCAGTCACCAACAGGGTCTTGTCCCTCTTCAGTCTCTCAATCTCTTCTTCCATGCCAAAATGCCCTATCTCAATGCATGGACCAACTCCCTGATTATGCACACTGTGTACAACATTTCTCCTCCTCTTAATGGTTTTCAGAAGATGTCTCTGCCCACTTAGAAATCCTTCATTAGCGAATTCCCATCTGTCTGGGTCCACCTTACGAAAACCCTGTGTTCCATAAGGGAAAATTGAATAATAATTAATAATGAGGTAATAATAATTAATAAAGAGATGAGACGAGTTGGAAGTGATTTACAAATAAGGGTTGGAAACAGAAGATACGACCTAGCTTTTCTTCTTTCTCCCAATGATAAAATTGCCAGCGGAAGTCATCAACCATCACCAAAGGTTTATCTGTCTCCTCAGCAATTAAGTGCAACTCTTGACTACAATAGCGAACAATTTGAACAGTTGTGAACACAAAATACCTTAATCTCATCTAGTGGCACCATAGACTATTAAGATTTTGAAGGAATCCTTCTTGACATTTAACAATTCCGATTTCCAAAAGATAACTACTGCTTTAATTTGATATAGCTAAGTCAATATAAATGGTGCAGCAATATACGGATGTTGAAATAATTTGAGCCTCTCTGCACATTAAGAAACTACACTTTCAGTTATTCTCATCACAATGCATTTAAATTTTGAAAATATATCTAGGTTTTTTGAATTTGGATGTTTAGATCAATTTATACAATTCTTCACTTATTATGTGCACTATGGTTCTAACCATGCATCTCATACCAGTGGGCTGAAAAGTAGCCCTAATTCGTCTTAGCAGATAATCTATTTAGACACATAAAGTCCAGGAATATTTAATTTTACACCAGACAGAAAAACATAACCACAATCAAGCAAGAGCTCCCAAACTTAATATATCGTCAGGTATTATGCTTATTTTAACCCTGCATTTCATATTGAAGGACTTCAATTAGAAAATAGGCAATATTGTAAATTAGCAGAAATTCTATTTAGACAAAGAAAGTCATATAAGATCAAATTTCACACCAGGGAGAAGCAAAATACACCCACAATTATTGGCAAAATATTAAAATTAATAAAATACTCCGTATAAAAAAGAAAAACGTGTTGAACATGCTCTACACACACAGATCTGAGCAAACCACATTGAGTAAAAGTGGATCAAAAACAAGAGATGAATCATCCACAATAAAATACAGTTTCCGATGAAGGAATTGATTGAAATGCGTCTACTTACATAAGTATTGAGCTGTCGGACGAAGCTGGAGAAATTGCTGTGCTTGAAATGCCTAGGAAGGATGGTGGTTGAGAACTGGTGAGAATCCCAGACAATGAAGCTGTTCTTGGCCGAACTCCAGGAAATCACCGGGTCAGTGGACGGGTCTTCCACCATCTCAAACGTCTTCGTCAAAAACGGCGGCGGACCAACTTCGTGCAACCTCTCCATCGGCGCTGGCGCATCTTCTTCAAGTTTCACAATGATGCTCTCCATTTTTTTCACAGAGATTTTTGGCTCTTTTTTTTCTTCTTCTTATGGAAGTGGGAACTGCTATCGTTGGCGTTAGAATCTTTTCAGAGGAGTATTTAGATGTGTGGTATAGAATGTTCTGGAAGAAAAGTGTGGATATTTTGGTTCTATATACGGAATACGGATTCTTGATACTCCCTCAATCCCGTTCTTTTTTTTACATTTTGATTTTTTTTTAAAAAAAATAAAATAAAAGAAAGGAATGCTGACTAAACTTTGACTGTTGACCAATACCTTTGACCTCCGCCACCACCGCCGGTCGCCAGAATCTGCCGCCGGACGTCGGTCACCGGAATCCGCCTCCACCGCCTGAATTCGCTGCCTGCCGCTGCCGATCTCCGATCGCCAGAATCTGCCGCCAGTCGCCAGCAACCGCCGCCGCTGACTGGTGGTTGACCGGTGGTGAGCTTTACTCTATTTTTATGTGAGCTTTGCATTGTCCATTGATGAGCTTTGTAGTGTAGTGTGGTGAGCTTTGCGTCATCTCACCGAAGCATGTCATCTCACCATAAGGTGTCATCTCATTGGAGTCAATCTCATATATATGGATTGACTCCAGTCAGATGACACCTTACGGTGAGATGACATGCTACGGTCAGATGACGCAAAACTCACCACTGGCCACTGCAAAACTCACCAAAGACAATTACAGAGCTCACCAAACTGTTAGGCAAAGCTCACCATATTTTTTAAACACTTTGAATTTTTTTTGAAAAAATAAAATCAAAGGAAGGGGTGCTGACTAGACTTTGACCATTGACCGTTGACCATCACCGGCAACCGCCGGCCGCCGTTGGTCTCCGCCGCGCCACCACTGCTGACCGGTGGTTGATCGTTTCTATTTTATTTTTAATTATTTTTTTAATTTTCAAAATTAAAAAAAAGGTGAGTTTTGGTGTTCAAAGTGGTGAGCTTTGCAGTGTAATTTCGTGAGCTTTGCATCATCTCACCGTAGCATGTCATCTCACCGTAAGGTGTAATCTCACTGGAGTCAATTCCATATATATATATATATATATATATATATATATATATATATATATATATATATATATATATATATATATATATATATTGAAAAACCAAGATATCATTAAAGAGAAGTCCTGGGTCGGTCCCGAACACCCGCTATAGAATGATAAGCACACGCTAGCAAATATGCCACCTCATTAGTAGAACGATAAATAAATCTAAAACTAAGATCTCCGCCACAAAATACCTAGAGACGCTTAGAGTCATCAATAATGAAATTAAAGTAAGACCTAAAACTAAAATATTTCAAAAGTTAGGAAATAGTTTTACAAATAAGTGTTTATATGATTATATTGTATTATAAATTGATTATTGAAAACAATCAAATAAAGTGAAAAAAGTTTGACCGTGTAAACAGTGTATGTGATGAACTAACTTGGACAGATCAAAAAATTGCTGCCAGGTACCCCTTATTTTTGGATAAAGACTGGCAGGTCCCATTTTTAAAAAACATTTACTCATGGAAATTTAAAATATGATGTTTGTGACTGAAGAGGGAACTTACGTATCATTTATAAAATTAAAATTATTTATTCACTTGGTTATAAATTATACGTCGTAATTCATAATAATATTAAATTTAACACTATTTTTATTGTTTCATATTATCTTTACAAGACATATTAAATTTAACACTATTTTTATTGTTTCATCTTATTCTTTTCTCAAGTCCTCTTGTTTTCTCGATTTACCATGACACCATTACCAATGACGGCTATCAATGACTAATGCGGAGTACTATTTTTCTAAATAATAATGATTGTTACTCCGTATTTCTTAAAAATAGAGTAATAAAATTACTACTCTGCANTTGACCAAAAAAACAAAAGTAGACAAATACTTTAGAACAGAGGAGTAATTAATATGAAGTAATAATAATAACTAGTGGTATTTTTTAAAAAAGTACAGAAGTAAAATTACTAATTAATTGCTTAAAATAAATAATAGTATTAATAATAAGTGTTATTTTATAATAAGTGCTATTTTTCTAAATAACAATTAGTGTTTTTATAGAAAAGAGTGGTAAAACTAACAATTAATTTTTAATAATAATAGTAATAATAATAAATCAAAAAATTAATAATAATAATAATAGAATAAGAAAATAATAATTATGAAGTAATTAATTATAATAATTATTAACAAATAATAATAATTATAATAGAAGAAAAAACAAAAGAAAAGGTAAAAGAAGAAAAAAACGGGGGTGGGGGGGGGGGAATGGAGGTCACTGGAACTCTGGAAGGCAGGAGAAAGAAGAAGAAAATAAGAAAAGAAGAAGAAGAAGAAGAAAAGAATGGGACCTGCCAGTCTTTATCCGAAAATAAGGGGTACCTGGCAGCAATTTTTTGGGAAACGGAGAAGAAATGTTAACGGAGAGAATAACGGATTGTCACCCCGGAGTCAGTTTTCGAATATCTTAAGGTACCTCGGAGTATATTTTGAAAAACAATGGGACCTGCTAGTCTTTATCCCAAAATTAGGGGTACCAAGCAGCAATTTTTTGTGGACAGATGGAGTATTACGTATTTGGTTCGGGTGGACACGTATGACAAAGACATGCTACGTTATGTTTGTTTTATGTGATTGATCTGATTTCAATTGTTTTAAATAGATTTCATTCGAATAGATTAAGCCTGATATAAATAAATATAATCTAATCTTATATGTATAAATTTGATTTAATCTTCATGGCTAGAGATAAAAAGAAAACTCCCTAGATAGGATTAAAAAACATGAAAATACTAAAATAAGAGTCTTAAGTTTTTTAATACCAAAATATGAGTATAATTGATGCTTAAACACGGTAGAAGACGGGTCGTTCGTTTCTGTATGAGCAGGTGTAGGAATAGAGTGATTTAAAGACTCACTAGATTATAACTTTAGCACCTCCTCGAGACACGTCAGGGCAACACTAAAGGTGTAGTTTTACAACTTGCACGTGGTCGAAATTCTCACAAATTTCTCGACCCACACAGAATCAAATTAACCCACATAAAATTACAAAACACACACAAATTTTATTAAACTTCAACCTCCTTAACAATGAGAATACAAAGCCTATTTATATGCATGATTACTTAAGCTACTTAATATAAAAATAAATAAAAATACTAAGCTTCTAGGAAATTAAAATTAAACATCTAGGAAACTTCCTAAGTCAAACAAAAACCCTAATCAAATAAAATCAATATATCTTCCTTGATATTGTCTCTCAACCTCCATATAAAGCCAAGAGTGATTAATCTTAAAATCCAATCTTGCCTCCTAAATTACCATGTGATGATAATGGTAATTACTTTGGTAAAATCTTTAAATATAAATCATTAAAATCTCCTTTGGCTTCATCCTCCAATCATTTCAATAAATGGGTAAAAATATGTTAATCTTCAAGATATATGAAGATATTAATCAAATCAAATGGTTGTTAGGATACTAGATGGAAATTTCCGAAATCTTAACCATCGCGTTACGGTCGACCGTTCATATGTAACGGTTCAATAGGTTGACCGTTTCTTGCATGCGTGCACGTAATTTCCTCCTAGGTCCCACGTGTAGGATCGATTTTTTGGAACTTCCCAATGGGTCACCCATCCTGGGACTAATTCTGTTCCAGCATGCTTAACTATAGAGTTGTGAAGTTAAAGAGGTGGCAAATGCTTCATAAAACCAATTGGTGATAGGAAGGTAGACACTTACTATTTAACCACATCTCTCTGTAGCCCCAAGCCAAGTAGATTCTTATATGGCACCCCCTACAGTTCACTACGGCAGTGCGGAGGCCCACTACTCAGCAGTAGATGGACAGGAGGAACTTCGCATGATACACGATGTGAACAGTAGTCGAAACAATGTATCTTCTATTATTATAAATAGGAACCAAAGCCTTATAAGGAAGGCAAGCAATAATTAATCTATACGACTCCTACTTTGTAATCGGTCCCCATATAATAAATAACAAATTGAGTTACATGTAGGTTTTCCTCCACTTAATATTACGTAGGTTTTACACCATCAGTATTTATGCTCTATATTCATTAAATGACAACACTACAATTTATGAGTAAATAAATATCTTACAATCTCAAATTTAAAAAATTAAACTATATATTTGTCAATGTTTACAAAAAATACTAAATCATATAAACTAACTACAAAATTATTGAAATAAGTTTAACAAAAAATACCTCCATAAAACAAATAGCAGACTCCGATCTGGTTTGGATCTTGCAAATGAAAGATCATGATAGGAGGGGTGAATTTGGTGATTTAAACTTAAACAGAGTGGGCTACTCCGTATCGGTGTAATTAAACCCAAAAGGAGTTCGCTACACAGCCAACAACCTCTTTTTTTCTTTATTTAAATATATGGGGAGTTTCCCTCGTGTTTTGCTGTCAATTTTTGTCATTTTTTATTAGGCTAATCGTTGGATATTTGAATTGGACATTTGGGCTACAATTTACATGTACTCCGTCGTGGGTAAATTTCACGTATGTGTTGACTCTCTTGACCCTGTGAACTCTCAGAAGTCTCTGAACTCTCAGACACCTTCACACCAATTACAAGGATCATTTTAGAGGTACGGAGTAAAAGGACTTGCTTTGGGATTGTGCTAGAGCCTCTTACCAAGCCAGGCTTGAATCTTGTCTAAGTAAGCTTGAAGAAAGGTGTCCAGAGGCTAGATAGTGGCTTAACAAAAGACCAACAAAGAATTGGTCCAAAGCAGAGTTTAAAACATTTGTGAAATGTGATATGTTAACAAACAACCTGTGTGAGTCTTTTAACAAGTACATTTTGGATGCTAAGGACAAGTCACTACTATTAATGTTTGAGATAATTAGGACTAAGTTAATGAAGCGCTTGTCAACCAAAAAGAAGGTCATGACAAATGTGAAGGACACAATATGTCCCAAAATAAGAGCCAAACTGACAGAGAATTTTGAGCATGCTCATCTATTCATTCCTACAT